AGCTAATGTAAGTTACCCAGGAACAGAACAGACAGGAAAGAAAAGCACCTTCTGAACAAAACAGGCTGAACCCACTGTGCCAGCTGAAACCCGCCACATTCAGCAAATTCAGAGCTGAGGTGAGAAAGGAAAGAAAACTCACCCAGACACCACCCAGGGCTCTGCATGTTGGTCAGAAATGTTGAAGAGCCGGCAGCCCAAGTTCTCCACATCCTCCAGCCGACCCTCACGTGCCAATAAATAACCATAAACATCCATTCCTAAAGAGACACGTTGGAGGATCAATCCTCAAGGAATAGAAAGTTCATTCACAAGAAAAAAAAGCCACAAAACCCACAAACACCTACTCTAAAGTGTGCAACTACCTAGAAGGGTTCAAGACATGCAGCTTCTGAATGTCAATTCTGAACTGAAAGCTGGGTAAACAATACACAATATTCTACTGCACGTTACTCCTCAGGTCAACCTTCTCTGAGGATTTACTCACCTTTGATTAGGTAAGGATCCAGCATTTGTGCTTGTTCAAATTTTAGGATAGAGTTTTTATTATCTCCAGCTCTGAAGTACAGGTCTGCTAAGCTCCCCAGCAAGTCCACATTATCCCTCAGCAATGACTTCTTCTCTAAAGAGCTTCAAGGGAAAATAAGTGCCTGTTATTTATAAATGACACTTGGAATATCATTCTAGACAAGAATTTATGTTTGATTCAATTGCACCAAGCTCTTCCAACTCTTACCAAATGGTGTTTATTGCTCTGGTGTTGTCTCCAGTATGCACAAAGGCGTATGCCTTGATCCACACCGAGAGCCAATCCAGGTTGGGAATGCTCTGGATGATGTTGATGGTCATGGAGGCCACTTCTGCTCCCTTCACCGACAGTGAGAGCAAACCTGTTTAGAGGGGTTCACACATCAGTCTCAGCCACCCAAAAGTGCTTTTGATACAAAATGTCTGAGGGGCAGAAACGCCATCCCCTGACAAGCACAAGCAGCTGATGACAGGGCCTGCTACAGTTTCTATAATGTGGGTATGACATGCAAATACAAGACAGCTACAGAAGTGTAATTCAAATTTTACCAGGGCTGAGTAGTGAGAGTGCAGACACCCACCCAGGATGGCATCCAGGGCCAAGGGACACTGCCTCAGCACCTCTTTGTAGCTCGTCACCGAGGAGCGCTCCTGCCCCGCCTTCTTGTAGAGGTTTGCCAGCATCATATTGATCTGCAGACAACAGCAAAGTGGCACAGCCGAGGGTGAGGAGGACAAAGAACCACTCAGAAAGGTCACAACTCTGCCTTCAGGCCTGCCTGCCTCTGCTCTGGGCAGAGGACATCACAACCTGCATTTCTGAGAACACTCCAAGGTACCATATAGGACAAAAGGAAAACTGTGGCTTCCCTCTGAGCACAGAAATAAAATCTCCAGTCTTTTGTATGTGCACAGTGCACCTTGAAATCTGTGCTCTGCAGCAAAGAAGTCAAAAGATGGGCAAGTACACAATGCCAAGAAGGATCTGTACATCCCTTAATCAGTCCCCTCCAGGAATCTCTCTGTCCATGGAAGTGTTTGAATTAACTTAGCAAGTCAGAGAGAGTTTCCATCCAGCTTCTGAATGGAGACATGATTGACCAAAGAACAGAAATTATCTGAGCTCCTCACAACACAAGGAGCTGCTTTCTGCTGCAGCACTTCCATTTACTGGCCTATATAGGCAAAAAGTTTGCTTTTCTCAAACTTTTCTGTTTGCAAGTTGGTCAGAACACTCTGACATTAACTGGAGTTTAAGCCTGTACCCTTTTAGGACAATTTAACATGAAACACAGCTGACTGATCTGATGTGTTAATCTTTTAAGCCCTTCTGGGTAACAGAGCCAACGAGCAAAGACTCCACAGATTTGGCACTGCAGACCACAAAGGGATCTAAATATTTAACATTATCTAAAGTGTTGTTGAAAAGGATTAAAAGATTTTAAAAGATGGAGCACTAGCAAACTTTCTACTTGCCAAAGTCTCCAGCCTCTCAAGGATTTGCCACTGCTCCAACTATACAAGAAGTTAATAAAGATGCACAAAACATTTAACTCCTTTCATTTTTTTCTTTAAATTCTTTCTAACAGAGGAAATACAAAATTGGTATGATTTGAAAGAAAAGGGTCCAAATCAGCTAATTTAAAATTAGGGGATGCTACCAAACAATATTTAACTAATGAAAAAGACAAAATGCCATGAAACCTACATAGTATGTGCTGCCCTAGAGATACACTGACCACGAGGCTGTGACAAAAACCTGCCAGAATTCACCTTTGGAGTTCTCTGCCTGGAAGGAATCCCATCAAGAATAGCAATGGCATCTTTATCTTGCTTCAGCATTGTGTAGCATTCAGCCATTTTGTATTTCACTTCAATTTCTGATGGTAAACACTGAAACAAAAAAGAAAGATTTTAATATGATGTTGGTTTAATCAGGTATGAAAATTTTAATAAAGTTTCTTCATAAATATTTATACTGTGTTGAAAAATATTTGGTGCATGTAAGTTAACAATGCAGCTCACTGCTAGTTCACATTGTTCCTGTCTTCAAATTAAAAGTATGAAGTACACATACAGAAAAATTTCATGCTGGAGACCATTTAAAGTTTTGCATTAGAAAACACCACAGATATTATCAAACTAATTAGCCTGAAATGTCAGGTTTATTTGACATGATAAATGCACAATCTGAGGTGGTTAAGAGACACGTAAAGGTGATGCTCAGGGATGTGGTCAGCGATGCACTTGGCAGGGATTCAGCCTCAAGGATCTTTTCCAGCCTCAGTGACTCTGTGAATATGGAGTCAGCAAACATTAACTGCAAGGGGGAATGTGATCACTTGGTGCAGCACATCATCAGTTCCTCATTACCTGGCTTTGGGGTGTTGATGCAGCATTCCCAGTAGAAGGCCTGACTTTGGAGGTTTTACTTAAGGCTTTTTTCTGCTGTAAGGCCATGGTGTACTTGCTGACAGCATTCCTGTACTCCTTGTCGTGGAACAGGGAGTCTGCATGGTAGACAAGGAGCTGGTACTTCTGAGAGGGAGAGAACAGCTCCCTGGAAGAAATGCAGACAGAAAGGCTGAGATGAGATGGCTGCAAAATAATCAAAACCTTACAGAAACAAAGTATTTGTAGCTTTGGTTTGTCTGGCCTCAACTTGCAACTGCTGCAGCCACTTCACTGCACTGGAACGACCATTGGGTAACAGCACTGACTCCTCACACAGGGCTTATCTCACCAAATTCTGTTATCTGTAAACAAACAAATGCAGCAGCCACTCCTGACACCTCAGCAGCAGCAGCACCTCAATGTTTGGCTGCTTGGCCACTGCCCCCACCCTTTCTGTAACAAGCCACAGGCTGTAAACATCCATTACACTGCATCAACTTTCTCCTAGGATTCATTCACCTTTTATTAGCTAAGGATCCAGCATTTCACCTGTTCAGATTTCAGAACAGTTTTGTTTGGACTCAAGTTTAAAAGGCAACTCAGCTCCTTGTACAGCCTTTCCTACATTTTATTCCTGTTCCCACATTATAAAAACCCCTTCTATAAAACACCTAACGTGTGCAGACCAAATGACCCAACTGTGGCCTTCCAGGACCTGAAGGGAGCCAACAAGAAGCATGGAGAGAGACAATTTACAAGGGCCTGGAGTGCCAGGACAAGGGGGAATGGTTTCACACTTGACAGAGGGCAGCTTTAGATTGGATATTAGGAAAAATTCTTCCTTGTGAGGGTGGTGAGACCTGGCACAGATTGCCCAGAGCAGCTGTGGCTGCCCCATCCCTGGAAGTGTCCAAGGCCAGGCTGGACAGGGCTTGGAGCACCCTGGGATAGTGGAAAGTGCCCCTGCCCAAGTCAGGAGGGGTGAAACACAACACTCTTCAAGGTCCCTTCGGTGATTCTATGATTCTCTGCCAGAACACCCATGTTGTAGGGGGCACCCCAAAGGGACGCTGATGCTGATACCCGAAGAGAGGTGGGCTCCATCCCCGGCAGGAGCAGAACAGAGGACAGGACAGGGACAGAGAATAGGACAGGGACAGCCTAGGGGCAGAGAACAGGACAGGGACAGGGGCAGGGACAGCCCAGGAGCGGCCCCGCTCCCTCACGTCCCTCACGGCCCGCGCGCCCCCTGCCGGCGGGGCACTCACGGGTTGTTGCCGCTCATGGTGAGGAGCAGCCCGCTGAGCAGCCGCACGTTCGAGTGCAGCCCGGCGGCCGCCATCTCGCGCACGTGCTCCACCACACTCATGCTGCCGCCGGCGGGGCGGAAGGGACGGGACGGGGCCGGGGAAGAACCGGGAGAGACCCCGAGCGAGGCACCGGGCACGGAGCTGCCGCCGCCGCCACTCCAAAATGGCGCCACCCAGGGGTCCTCGCGCGCCACCGCCTATAGGCGGCCAAGGCGCTGCCCGCGCGGCCCGACAGGCGCGCGGAGGGCAGCCCGAGCCGAGGACCCCTCGCGGAGGCGGGAACGGCGTGAGGGGAGAGCGGGGTCGGGGCGGGGCTGTGAGGGGAGAGCGGGGTCTGAGCTCCGCTGTGAGGGGATTCGTTCCTCTGTGGGTGTTCTGGTGCGAGACACACACTCCCTGTGCCTCCACAGCTCCCGAGTCCGCCCCTTGTCCTTCTGCAAATACACTGATGGTTGCTGCAGCTAAATGTGACTGACGTCTCCAAGATAATGATGCTCCTACCTATAAAAATTGTTAATGGAGGAGAAAAACCGTTCAAAACCTACATTTCTTCTGGGAAATGCCTCACATTTCTCCCCATAATCCAATCTAAAACTGCCTTCTGTCAGCATGAAGCCATTCCCTCTTGTCCTGGCACTCCAGGCTCTTGGTGGCTCCCCTCAAGTCCTGGATGGCCACAATCGGGTCACCCCAAAGCCTTTCACCAAGAAGAAAAAACCTCTTTGATTTCTTTGAAGGCTGTCCATAAGACACACAGTAGTTACCACGTTAATTACAAGCAAATTTTATTGAAAACAAGGTAAAAATCACTGCACTGGACAACACAGCGTGAGAGGTCTGTTTTCCCTGGACACACGACACCGACTCCAGCCAGCAGAGCAATGACACAGCTCCCCTGCCCCACAGCCAAGCCCACTTCTTCTCTTAAATACAAGCCCTGTTTGAAATGCTGTAGCCACGATTACAAAGCAGCTTTCATCTGAAACAGCACGTTAGAAATCACTTATTAAGCACCAGCTTAATAATATTTGCTTCCACAACTTATCTTTTTGCTCTCCCTCTATCACTCATTGACAGGTTTGGTTTTTTCTTTTTTTTTTTTTTTTTTACTTCATAAGCACTTAATTCTTTCTTGGTACAAAATGTATCCAAAGCAAAGGCAAAAGACTCAAACATCTTGCTGTGGAAATGCTTAAAGTTGTTGCCACTTTGCTTCACTGCCCAGGGCCTGAGAGACTCTTGTTCATGAACTGCCTCTTCACAAAGCAGATCCACCACTGCAGAAGGAAGTACAGAGTCAGAAAATCAGAAGTGGTTTCCATTGACTTTAAAGTATTCAATCTCTGACACACAACAAGTATTAAGGATCCAGTTTTACACATAGTTTTCCACACTTGAATTGAGGTGAACAAGACAACACGAATGGACACAATGAGTTCATATTACAGGACTTTGAATTAAAACGGGAAATTCTACTTTCTCTTATTTTACTTTTGTTATATTTTATCCCAATACAATCATAAATGAGGGATGCATCAGGAAGCTATGCCTTTGAAAGTAAATTAGCCTAAGTGATTTCAACATTAAATGCAGTCACATTTGCACATGAAACATGTGAACACTCAGGAGGTGACTCATTCATTGATTAGCGATTTTTTCAATCTCGATGGGAGGCAAAACAATCGACTTCAAAGCAGCTCTCAAAGCAGAGCTGCCTGGGAAGAGAAACAGCACCTCTCGTGCTTGTGAACTCCTTTTGCAAGCCCAGCCACGAGCAGATGTGCAGTGCTTTGAAGAGCTGAGCCAGACCCCTCTCATTACTGCCCTGCTTTTGAAAGCAACCCAAACTGGCACTCACTGTCACATCACATCAGATTAAATTTACTGATAACTTGCAGCTGTAAATTCAGCCAGGCTTGGCTGAAGTTACCCTCACCCATCATCTCTCTTCTCTCCACACGAGGCTGAACAAGCACCCCCAGCCTCTCACTGACTCTGTGCTGATGCCTCTGAACTCTCACCTTGCTTGGCTTGTCGCTCTGAGGATCAAACACTTTGTCACACAGGCGAAGGCCGGTTTCTTGCCTCAGCTGCTGCAGGTAGGCCCTCATCACCTCTGAAAGCAGCACAGCAAAACCAGGGTGAACTGGGCAGCACCAACCCAAACTAGGTTTAACAGGGACAAGTCAGACTGCTTTAAAGCAGAGAGGGAGTTTCATATCTGCAGGCTGCAGCTGGCTGAGTTGATTAGCTCAACTTATCTATGGAACCAGGGGAATCCTCAAGGTCAGAAAATCCAGCTTGTGCTGCCTTCAGAAGACAGACTGCAGATTTAGAAGATTTAGGTTTAAAGTAATTTTTCTAAGCGCAGTTAATGAAGTGTGACCCTCAGAGGCCCTGGGTCAGCCTTACCTTCCTCCTGCTTGTTGGCAGGTTTGGCGTAAATGGCGTTGAGTGGAAAGCCAGGCTCCCCTGGGATCGGGAAGTTAGTGATTCCCAGCGTGTACATCTCCTTCTCTCCCTGGCCTTTGGAGTTACACTGGAAGAACAATGGGTTGGCAGTTATGAACAACAACTGACACAGCATTAGACCCAAATCTGGGTCTAATTTCACAAATCTGGAACAGGAAAATTCATCAAGAAGAGCAACACAGCACATCCACAGCCTTGGAGTATTTGAGGCTCTGACAGCTGGGACTGGGGTCCATGACAAATCTCCTTCCAGGATTATTTGTTCCCCTGGAAGGAGAATATAATGAAATCCTTTCCTTAGAGCAATCCTCAGAACAGACTGTTTCCCACCTGCACAGGAATTCAGTTTTCTTACCTTTTGCAGCTTTTTCAGGCATTCAGAAATGTAGAGGGTGACATAGATCAGTGTTCTGTCAGCCTCATTCTGCAAAACAAGAGCAGGAACTCTTAGATTACAGGACTTTGTGGAACTGATAAAGTCTGAAACAGGAATGAATTCAAGCCATTTTGGGCTACAGTTTCCCCATGAGATAGAGATTTGCAATTCATGACATTTACCCAACTTTAAAGATCAAGTGGAACGGGAGTTTGTGATCTTCCAGAATTACTTCCTTGAAAATGAATTTATATTCACAGCACCAACCCTCCAAAGAACTAGAATATCCTCAGTATCTCAAAAAATTACCTTAATTTCATAATTTTTGAAGAAAACATTCGCTTTGAAGTAGTAGATGGCCTCATCTATAATATCTGTGTCCTTAGCTATAAAAAAGAAATACAGAGTTAAGCAGTGCACTGTTACACTACATTTGTCATAACTTTTACTCACTGAAGTACATAAATAAGGATTACTGCAAAAGCAAAACCATGGTATTTACAAAAAGCAGAAGTCAGCACCACATAACAGAAAACTTCTGAAACACCCTGAGTTCAGACTGTAATATTTAAGCTTCCTACTCCCTTCTCCTTCCCCTCTGATATGTCACTTCACAAACAGCAGCAATTCAGCAGTTCCCCACTTTTCTACCACTTTTGAGTAACTCATCAGAGTTTTAACATCATAAAAGGATAGAAAAAAAGTTTTTGGAGAAAGCACAATCACTCATATTCCATTATCCTCTTCAAATAAAGGAAGGGAGCAGAACACAGCGACAATCTGACTTTTGCTACCATCCAAGACTGCTTAAATCCAGAAACACTTCCTTTCCATTTCCCTGTTCAAACTGAACCCCACATTTCTGGGGAACAGCTTGCCTGGGAAGTTCAGGTGTTGAAGGGGAATCTGCCCTGGCTGCCTTTGGGCCCTGTTGGGGTGCCTGGAATTTAATTTCAGTTTCTGAAGCCCCACACCCTCAGTGCTGCTGTCCCTCAGAGCAGCCCAGAGCGTAAGCTCTCCGTAGCTAAACCTCCACTTCCTCTGCCACAGAGGCTTCACACCAGCACAGCCTCCTCAAAACCCTGCTCAGAGCACAGGGGGAAGCACCAGAACAGCAACCAGAGGCTTGGGTTACTGAAACCACGGACTCAACATGGGGCATGATTATCTCTGCATAATTATTTTCTACGATTTGCACAGCTGAAATAGTTGAAAACTTTCCTCCTCTCTGCAAAGCTTTCCATTTCCCACTGGTGACTCTTGCTGGGGCTGGCTTAGAGCAGCCCCTGCGATGATGAGCTACATCCAGTAATTCAGAGATTATTATAAACTTACTTTCTCGAGGCGCTGGGCCCTTGAACTGGCTTCTGATGGGTAACAGTGCCATGTTCCCAATTAGCTTGGTGTCTGAGTCCATTAAAGTGGAGTGGTAGGCCTAGAGACAGGGAGAGCTGGTTATTGATCCTACTGAAAATAGACATTTCCATATCCAATCATGCGTCTCCAAGCAGGAGTCACAGCCTGTGACAGTTCATTATGTCACAGTTCATTATGATGCTTCCAGCATTTTTTCCTTGCAGAAACAATTGCTACTTTCTATTTAAGTCCAGATCTTGGTGCCAATCTGGTGAAGACCAGGAAAGCACCAGGAGATTGGATAAAATCTGTATTGTGGGTCTGCAAGCACAGTTCATGCTCAGGCTGCCTGACCCCATCCTGGCAGCCCTGTTCACCTGCCTGAATTTTGGGGCATTGCACTGAAAGTTAGTTGGTCATTAAAAAAATATGTAATTTATTTCCATGTTTGGCTATTAGTAGTAGATAATTATTAAAATAGCCAAGCTTAATACAGTAAAAACAAACCAACAAAACTGATTTAAGTGAAAAACAAACCAGCTTTCTGCATACAACAAATTCTTCCTGGAAAAACGAATGAGTTCAGTTTTAGGCACTTTCCAAGGCGCTGGGAATCCCTCATCTCACAACCCACCTTTTGTGGGGGGGCAGAGGAGGATGCGACTGGGAGGGGCTGGGTGTGAGAATCAGTTTATTCCACTGAGGGGAAGGTGGTGCCAACAAAGCCAGAGCAAAGCCCTGCTGTGGCCGCCCTCTCCCCCGCTGCTGCCGGGGTTCGCACCCTCCGGGCTGAGGAGGAGGAGGAAGAGGAGGAGGAAGAGGAAGAGGAAGAAGAGGAAGAAGAGGAAGAGGAGGAAGAGGAAGGTGCTGGCCCTACAGCAGCCTCCCTTGAAGAGCCATTCCCCGCTCCCCGCAGTGCCCACAGCCAGACCCCGCAGCGAGCAGAGCCCCTTCCCCGGGCTGGGATCGCCCCCGCCGCCCCCGGCCCGGCCCCGCCGCCCCCGCCCTCCGGGGCCGCGCAGCGCCGGGCGCGGAGCCGCTCACCGGCATCTCGAAGGGCAGGAGGCGGCTCGGCGGTGCCGGGCCGGAGGGGAGCGGGGCGAACCGGCCAGGAAAGCGGGCACAGAGCTTCCTCCTCCGCCTACGCTGCAGGAAATGAGGCAGCGGCAGAGGCGGTGCGAGGAGGGGAAGCGGGAGCCGCGCACCGCCCCGGAGGCAGCGCTGTGCCCGGGCACTGCCCGTACGCGGAACGGCCGCGCAGAGGCACTGCTCCATCAGGGCACTGCCGGCACCGGGAGGGGCCCGGCAGGCAGCGCTCCTGTCGGGGAACGGGTGCCGGGATGCTTCGCTCCCAGCTGGTTTCTGTCCCGTGCGTTTCCAGCACAGCCCAGCCGGCGGCACGGGGCACTTCGTGTAAGGAACACGAGAGGGGTCCAAACGCGCTGTGTTCGGAGGGATACAATACTTTAGGTGCACATTCCAATCGCCGTCAAACCATTACCTTCCCTGAGAGCCAGGGTTGGTGAAATTGTCCTCTGGTATCTGACTCCCGGCATGAGTCAGGGAGACAAAATGGGGAGGTTTGGAAGGTGTCACAGTAATTCAACTGCAGGGCTGGGGTTTGTCCTTTCAACACGCCCCAAGCATGGCTCATCCCAAGGCAGTCTGGAGGTGAATTAAACCACGGTAGTTTCCCCAGCTTTTGAATGGTTTAATTCAGCCAGATCAAGATTTTTCTGAGTCCTTTTCCTCTAGATATGCAGGATTTGCTGGTCTGTTGAACCTCTTGCCCAGTTCTGGCTCTGCTTTTCTATAGGTACTAACACTGGTCTATGTATTTTTATAACACACAGAAGCATAGCAAAAAAAATTGTTTATTAAAGTAGATACGAGTTCATGTAACTCACTCTCCATTATAAATATTAGTTATTTTACAGATAACACATCAAGTGTGTTTGTGTAGGGGTTGGGGTTTTTTTATTTTATTTTTATTTTTTACTAAAAACAAAGTATTTTCCTCCCAGTTTGAACATGTTTCTTACTCGTCCACACGATCTTGAAAGTATTCATCCACAAGAGCAGATTTATCTTCTTCACATTCCTGTTAAAAAAAAAAAAAACAAACAGAAAAACATAAACCTTCCTGGGATGAACACAGGAATCATTAGGAGACTTTGAACAGTCATGCAGAAAAACATCTAAGTGATATCAGTGGTCATTTCTGGCATTTGAAGGTTAAAATTCTGTTAATTTTGAAAACCAAAGCAATATTTTTAAACAACCATTTGATCAACCTGCATACACAAGATGATATTAAAGAATTTCATTTTTATAACTAAATGAAGATGATACAAGCATTGTCACTGAAAGACCAAACATGGCTTATTTTGAACAGTACTAAGACAATAATTTATCAGCAAGGCAAAGAACATATTTATATCACTTCTATTATGGATACTTTCCAATTTTTCATCTTCTCACCAACAATCCCTTACCTTTGGTTCTTTAAATTCCAGATCCTCTCCATACTGAATGGTGAAGTCGATGTGCTGCAGGACGATGTTGATGCTTTCCTCATCAGAGCGATCCAAAGGCAGGAACCGAACCATGCCATAGTCATCAATCTGCACAAGGATTCAAGGGACGTGGGCAGGGAAATGCACAAAGTTCATTCTCAATCACAGCACTCAAAGCCACTTCCTTAAACCCCTCGTTTCTGGACTTCTAAAATACCATTTAGTCACACTGCAAACCAATGGCAATTCCCTCCTCAGAACACCTGGCTACCAATCCTGAGTTCTACACAGCAGCAAATTCCCAAAACTGCCAACAGAAAAGAATTCAAAGAAAATGTATTGGCTATAATCCAGATATCAAGACTATCATATTAGTAGTATCAAGAATCTCACGCTTATCTAAAGAACTAAAAAACGGAGTCAAAAAGGGGCAAAAAATGATAGTGAATTTTAGGGTACCAGCTCAAAAGCAGTATACCTACCAATCCACATATAGATTTGGTCAGTTTTTTAAACCTTTTGCTTTTCAATATATTTGTAGAATCTTCAATCATCGAATACATATCTGGATCCAAGTACCTGGAGAAACAAAGTCATCATCACCACTGAAAGTCTCATTCAGAATGAGACAAAAGATCCAATATAATTATTTACAGAAAAATCCAGAGATCAGTACAAACATGGAGCTATTCTTTTGACTCTGACTAAATTAAGCATCTTACCCAGATATTTAAACACTATTGTTTGAAATAAACACAATCCATCTTCTCCCACTCCAAAAGAACATGTTTTAATTGTGGGAAACATTAGACTCAACTTTCAGTGAACTTTGCCTCAGTATATTGTACTACAGAGTAAATAATTTTTTGGAACTTACTTTTCTATTTCCTTCTTGGCTTTCTTGCTCAGCAAATCCATTTTGGTCATGACGTTAATCTGTGGAATCTCCAAAGATATCATTGCACTGAGAGCTGCCAGGATTCCAGAAATAAACTTGAAGAGGATGAAAAATGATGTATTAAAGTACAGAAAAGCACAACACAAACACGCAGGACACTCAACCACAGGCCAAATCTGGTCATGAATATACAGAACATGGACACAAAGCCACGTGAGGAATCATTCTCTGTTGGAAAAAGGAGGTGCCGAGTACCCCCTCAATTTTTGGAGCCTCAAATATGGATCTGCCACTGAAAAGAGCATTAAGAAAACCCAAACCCTTCTTGGGACAGTCACTGCTAAATGGGGAAGGTGGCCTGCTTGTTCTTGGGGTCTGAGAAAGCTCTCGTGGAATCACAGAAGAATTTAGGTGGGAAGGGACTTCTGGAGGTTACCTGGCTCCTACAACTGCTCAAACAGAAGCACTTCCAGGTCAGACCAGGCTGCTCTGGGGTTTGCCCAGTCAAGTTTAGACTCTGTGAATGCCTGTCCCAGTCTGAGCACTCTCACAGTGCTGGCTGTCTTTCCATCCATCTGGGACTGTCCTTGCTGCAGGCTGTGCCTGAGGCAGCTGGTGACAGCAACCACATCTCCCTGGACCTGGCAATTTTTCCTCTGGGCAAACCCAGCTCCCTGGATGGCTCAGACTTGTTGTTCTTTATAAAAATGAAGTTTATTAACAGATTTCAAATGGATACCTTGAAAGATTCCACCATGAACTGAGAATCCACGAGGAAAACTCCACAGACACGGAATTCCCACTGCTGCAGCTGCTCCACCAACTGCTTCATCACTGGCAGGTGTGTGTAGAGCTCAATCTGACCTGGGGCACACTCAGGATGTTAACAGGTTGGAATGTGAAGCAAACAGGAACAGTCCACAGTTATATGTAGACAGGGGAACTGCACTTAAATAAAAACTGGTAAGGAAAGCACCCTCTTTTCAGGCAGCTCTGACTGTGTTTGGGTGAAGTGAAAAATAAATAAAAGGAGGTTTTTTCCTCCTTTGGTCTCCAGTTAGTGCTAGTTTGCAGTTGCCACAGCTCATGATGCTACCAAACATCTGTGCAGTCTCACCCAGATCAGCCCAGGACCAAGTTCACTCCTGAGACACCTGAAAGTGACTCTGACAACTGTTAACTTGGGAATTATCACAACAGTCTACAACCAAATTTTCCAATGCTTATGAATAGTGATACCAAAACATTGGCATGTGCTTACCTGGGCAATCAAACAAAACATAGTCATCCTCCACGTGCCCGAGGCTCTCCTCCAGCCAGCTGAAGTTATTGGCAAAGTATTCCATGCAAAACACCAAGCCACCATTGGGGCCAAACCTCAGGGACTCATCTTCCATGACATCGTCCACTTCTATCAGCTCACGGATGTCTGCACACACAAACGGCACCAAAGGCAGGGAATGAGCTCTGCAGGGAGGGAATGGGCTCTGCAGGCTGGGAATGGGCTCTGCAGGCTGGGAATGGGCTCTGCAGGAATTTGGCAGCTGAGAAAACCAACAGATTTCATAGCAGTGCTGTGGGATCTCCCTGGCACAGCCAGCAGCCAAACACAACAGGTTAAGTTCATGAAACTTACACAAATGCTTTAATTCCCCAAATAAATATATGCTAAATACTTCCTGGGACTTATTTGGGGGGTTCTTTTGAGGGTTCCTGGTGACTGTCTGGGAAACATCTCATTCCCCAGATTTTGCTCTTATGGTCCTGGATCTTCTAATTAATCTCTTCTGAAAGTATCTCAGCTGTGGCCAGATCAAGATGCGCTTTTCTTATCATCTTTGTCCAGACACAAACACTGTTGCTGCTCTCAAAGCTGAGGCATCTGCCGGTACATCTCAACCACCGGTGCAGGTAAATACAGGGATTGAGCAGGAGCTGGCACAGGGCAGCAGCCCGTGATGCGGGGAGCTATCCCTGGTACAAGAGTGCGTTAATCTCTGATATCTCTGAGCACTATTTGCTACCAGACTAGAATTACCAGACTAGAATCACCAATTTAAGGCTCACACGTTATTTTATTGAAACGATTTTCCCACTTCTTCCTGCACTGCTGCACGGGCTCCGTTTTAGAGGAACAGAACCGGTCCGGGCGCACGGCCAGGGGTTGGCTGGAAGCCCAGCCGTGCCCGGGGTCGCCGGGGCCCAGCCGTGCCGGGGCCGCCGCTCACCTGCCATGACGGGGTAGCTGAAGAGCTCGGCCGCCGGGTCCAGGTTCACCACCTGCACGGCGCGGCCCAGCGCCTCGCAGTGCTGCACCATGGTGGAGCAGTACGTGCTCTGCAAGGCATACACGGCCGTTAGAAGCCGTCATGGGGCTCCCGCCGCCCCGGTTCCCCGCCGTTCCCCGCGTTCCCCGCTCACCTTCCCGCTGCCCGCCGGGCCCATCACCAGCTGCGCGTACCGGGGCATGGCGGCGGCGGCCCGGCGGGGAATGGCCGCTGCGGCTCCCCGTAGTACGGCCGAGTCCGTGACGGCTCAGCGCATGGCCCCGCCCGCCGCGGTACGGCGAGCCAGCGGGGTCAAACCGTGCACGCCCCTCTCGCGAGACGGCGGCGCTGGGGCGGGCGCACGTGCGCGCGCGGTGAGGGACCGGGACCCGCCGCGGCCCGAGGGGCCTCCGGTAACACCGACACCGCCCCCGGGCCCCCCCGCCCCGCTCCGCTCAGCCCCCGCCGGAGGGCTCCCGCACGCGCCCGCTCCCTCTCCTCCGGAGCCGCGCCGCCGCCGCCCGTCGCAGGAATCCCCCCGGTGCTTGTACCGAGCATCCTCCCGGCGCCCTCCGTACCGTCAGCCCCGGCACCGCCCCGCCCTGCGAGCCCGCCCCTCCTCAGGTACCCGAACCGCATCCTCCCGGCTCCCCCCCATCCCCTTCAGTTCTGCCCTCACGGATACCCCCGCTTCCCCATCCCACCGTGTCCGTGATCCTCACCGTGTCCGGTGTCCCAGCACCCTTCCCGACCGGCCCTCACTTCTGCCCCCGGAGCACCGGGCACCCCCCGGGCCTCTGTGGGGTCTCACGAACGCCCAGCACCTCACCGTGCCCATCTGTCCCTGTCCCTCTGTCCTGAACCCACCGCCTCGGGAATTTCCCTCAGCGTTCCTCGGTGCTCAGCACGGCTCGTACGACACCCCAAGCTCCCTCACACATGTCCTGTCCTGTCCTGTCTGTTCCCACCCTCCTGGGGGATTTCCTGTGTGTTCCAAACTCTTTCCTTGTTGACTTCTGTCTTCTAAGTGCCTTGCTTGAAAACGTGTGTGTAGACCACTATTACATTCATTAGTGGCTTGAGTTTGCTTCCCTTTTTTTATGCTCTGGTTTGGTTTTTTTTCCTCAGTGTTCTTGGATCAGATTGTGGCTCTTCAGGCACTGATTTGAATGACCCCTTTCCTTTGCTAATATGCAAGAGGTACCTGCCCCCAGTGCCCCCACTGTTTGTGTGCCACTGATTTAACATGATACTTCACTGAATTGTCCTTAACCCAGTGTGTTCTCTAATTCCATGTGGGTTTCTGAAAGATTTTTCTTCATTTTGTGGTGCTTTGGCTTCTTTCCCCTTACGTGCTAGAACTCCAATTCTGCTTGGTGTCCTTTGTAGCAGTTCTCCCCATGTTTTCATTATCTTTGACTCCCATTTTCCTCTCCCTGCTCTCTCCCTTTCTTTTGGCACTTGCCCCTCTTTCCTCTGGGATTCTGGAGCTGGGAGGGCTGTGACTGACTCAAACCCAGAGCCTGGGTGCTGATTGTGTCCCCTGTGCCCCACAGCTCGGTGACATGGCCACGGATGTGGCCGAGCCCGTGGTCCCTGAGTGCAGAGGGGACGGCAGGAGCGGAGCCAGGTCCGACGCCGATTACCCCCTGCGGGTGCTCTACTGTGGAGGCAAGTGCTGGGACAGGACTGGGACAGGACTGGGACAGGACTGGGAGCACACATCCCTTCCTGCAGGAAGCCATTAGCACAGAAAAGCTCTGAGCATTAGTATGACAGCAAGAAATGGAATACATTAAACTGTACTGTGTTTGGAAGCGTCCTTTACTCGTTCTGTTTGTAGTTATGTGGGGGAAATTTAAAGGGAGGCAAATTGTCCTGACAGGTGTGTTTTTAGATAGGAATGTAATTTTGCTCCAGGCTGGAATACAGTAGGAAACAGCCCTGCACAGTTGGTTTGGCTGTCCCCTCTTTGTGACATTGGCAGCTCTTGGAGAAAGGAAAGCTGACCAAACCACCTGGTGCCTTGTTCAGTGTCTCCTTTGCCTCAGGTAGAAGTGGTGTTTTGTTCTGTAGCTTTTCCCAACCTTGGGCTTCTCCTTCCCTTCCCTCAGTGACTGGCAGCTCTTGCTGTGATGGTTTTACCCTAATGCAGAGCGTGTAAGCACAGGTCTAATGAGAGAGGAATTAAAATGTGGGGTGGCAACAATAAAATGTTTTTGAGTCAGTGTGTGCTTATAACCACAAGTTATGTAAGAACCCATCCCTGACTTTGAAACCCCATTTGGAATTTAATTACTAAGGCTGTAAGTAAAAAGTAAAAATGCCTTTTGTAATCTGTTCTTTTTTTTCTCCTTCTTTCTCCAGTCTGTTCGTTGCCAACAGAGGTGAGTAATTTTTTGTCCAAATTTCCTTCTATCCTATTATGCCCTATATTGGTGTATTTCTGATGTATTTTGTCATTCCTCCACTAACAACATTCATATGGCTTTTCTCTAGTACTGTGAATACATGCCTGATGTGACTAAATGCAGACAATGGTTAGAAAAGAATTTTCCAGATGAGTTTGCAAAACTTACAGTAGGTAAGAGTCTTTTCTGTTTTCTAACTGGTATGTGTCCTTGGACATATTTGGAAATTTCTGTCCAGTTCTTATCTCTTTCCTTTTCCTGCTGTATCATGTGAAAGGTAATGCTTTGGATGCTCTGAAATAGGTTTTATAATGTCAGAAAACACTAAATAATCAATTTATAGTTTAATTAATAATATTTGAGCTTTCTTAGGATTCCTGCCATAAACATCCATGCACTTGTTTCCCATCAGAGTTAGTTTATTGGATTTTATGTCTTTCAAGTCTACAGTGGATGGCTGGAGGAAAGGCCATTAATATTGGGGAACTTATTTGTTTGTATTTGGAATTTCAATATTAACATTATCATTAATTTCTGTCTCTCTGTGCAAGAGCCTTTGTTGAAATTGTCCCTGTAGCTTGGAGCTGAGGCTTTTCTGGAGTCTAGTAATTTGCACAAATACTGTAGTGAAGATGTAACATGCATCAGTCAAAGGGCTGCTGCACTTCAGCATAGTTTACTGGTTTAGCAAAATATCACTTTACTTACTTCCTGTTCCTGTAAGGCTGTGGGTGTTTGATCACTAATTTTGTTCTTTTTTCCCCCCTCGCTCCTTTCTGCTGCATTTTAGAAAATTCACCTAAACAGGAAGCTGGGGTTGGAGAAGGCCAAGGAAATGTGGGAGGAGGAGAAGAAGAGGAGAAGAAGAAGCAAAAGAGAGGCAAGGTCTAAATAGTTGATTGTGGTACTGATTTCAAAGCAGTTTGGGGCATCCCTTTCCCACCTGCTGGTCTGGAGCAGGGCACAAATTCCTTGCATTTTGGTGGCTAGCTCTGCAATGTAGGGAATATCTTCCTCCCTGTGGTCTGTGCCAATGGAAATGTTGGACAGGAGGGACAGGCAGGGAGAGGTGACCTGCGTGCTGTGCCCCACTGTTCCTGTCACCACTGTCACACTCAGGGAGCAGCTCCTCCCAAGCTGGAATCAGCTGGCATTTCTCCCAGAATGCTGAGCCCTGTTGAGCAGCACTTTATGGGCTGCTTGCAGAGTGGAACAAAGGCTGCTCCCCTCTGGTAATGCCTCATGACTCTGCTCTGCCTTTGTTCCTTCCACCTCTCTGTATTCACAGAACAGGATTTGGTTTCGTGCTTTTAAATCTCTTACCTGTGTGTCCATTAGCAGCTGTGTCTCCTCCCAGCAGCACTAATGAAAAACATTCTCAAAACTTTGGAAGATACAAAGTTATGTGGAACAGTTTAAACACACTTTTATCTTCAATCGTTGGAGCTCTTTCTGCTGAATTAATTAACATGCTTTCCACCATAAATCAGAGTTCTGGAGCTGTTAATATGTATCTGCCTGTGCAGTTGTGTGTAATGCTCCAGAATTTATGGTTAATACCCAGTAGTTTCATATTTTATGCCACATATATTTTTGTTTTATTTTTGGTACCTTGGTAACCAGTTTAATTTACCTTCTCAGCAGGCAATGTCTAGTGACAACAGTAATTCATGTTCTGTAACTTGGATGCTTTTCCCAGAGATTTCAGGACATTTTATTTCAACATTAATTTGTTGTGAGGGGTAGTATGATTAGTTTTAAGTCTGGTATTTGGTTCTAAAATAATAGTGTTTAAAATATTTGGTGATTTTTCTCCTAAAAGCTAAAGTTTCATGAAAACATACAGCATGGTGTTAAGTAGGATGGTGTAAGAGTGACCATAAGAGTGTGAGGGAAAACAAGCACAAACTTCATGAGACACTGCTGAAACTCACTGAAGGAAATTTAAGGCAGAAATTTACTGTCTAAAAATTATCAGCCACCAGTTTATAATAAAACAGAATTGAAAGTGCTGCGTGTTAGAAACAGAAACAGCCACAGGGGTTGGTTTACTTGTCATAAATACTCTAAGTTTTCATGCTGAGAAGGCTCAGAAACAGGAAACTTTGGTTACCCTGGAATAACATGGTGGCTGTACACAAAGTTAGCTGAGATCTTAATCTGGCCTGAAGAATCCTAATGAGTGCAATGCGTATTTTGCATGCTTTACTCTGACTCAGAAATGCCTGAAATGGGGAGTGTTCCCACAGGCTGGCCCAGGAGCAGGCAGGGGAAGGTGGTGGGTGTTAAATGGAGAGGGCTTGGGGTGCTCTGCCTGGCTGCTCTCAGAGGGTGGGGCTGGCTGCTGACTCACATTTCCCTGCCTGGTTCACTGTGGGGTCGTGCACAGGTGTCCAGAACTTGATCTGCTCTTTAACCCAGCAGCCTGGGCAAAGCAGGACCTTGTGTGGCCTCAGGAAATGGGCATGAGCAGCTTGCTTTGCCTCAGACACAAACCGTGAGAATCTTAAAGTAGTTGTGGAAAATATCAAAGAAAAATTTATTTCTAGAATTATGTAAATCTAGATCAAGCACAGTAATTGGTAAAGTGTGGGGAAAAGCCCTTTCTTTGCTGATTGTAGTGGGGGTCTGCTGTGCAACCTCTGCTTGAATGCACATTTGACATGTATATATTGTTATTTCTCATAATACTGGACTTAGATGATGTGGGATCTTTCTTAAATAATAATAAATCTCAGACAATGTGGAAAATAAATTTTTGTTTACCAATAGTGTTGGGGAGTTAACAGTTTCTTTGTTTATAGGGGCAAAATCTGACCTTGTATGCTTTTTTCTTTGATGAACTATGACATAATTAATCATGTAACCTTTAATTAATTAATCATGTGACCTTCTGCTCTGTTTTAAAGGTGGAAGAGGTCAGATAAAACAGAAGAAGAAGACTGTACCACAGAAAGTTACGATAGCTAAAATTCCCAGAGCAAAGAAAAAATACGTCACAAGAGTGTGTGGCCTTGCCACATTTGGTGAGTTTGGCTTCTGGTATTGGATGTGCCTGCCTTTACCCTCATGATATTTCTTCTGGTTGTATTCCACTGGGGAATCTGCTTCCAGCTGTGAGAGGGAAGTCCCAAGGTGCTTTTAGCAGTTCCAAGGCTAAAAGGACACTGACTTCCCACAGGGGTAAATTATTAAGGTTCTTATTGCCTTAATAAAGACAAAGAGGGTTACAGGTTTTTTTGAAACAGGCTGCAGACTCACCTCAACAGAACATGTAGAGGACATTCAGCAATTTCTACCTTGAAGCATTTGTAGATCAGTAGAGTCAGATGTTTTGGGTGTAAACAGCAGACTTGGCTTTCAGTGGAAACTCTAGCAAAGCTTCAACTGTAAAGTGCCACCACTTTTTCAAGTTAAAACAAGATTTTGGCTTTAATCTTGAGAAAATATTTTTATGACAACAACTGTACTTAAATTGTTCATTTTTCCCCGGGCAGAAATTGATCTTAAGGAAGCACAAAGGTTTTTTGCTCAGAAATTTTCCTGCGGTGCCTCAGTAACAGGAGAAGATGAAATCATCATTCAGGGGGACTTCACAGATGACATTATTGATGTAATCCAGGAGAAGTGGCCTGAGGTAATAAACCTTTCTTTCTCTCAGGAAGACAAACACTTTTCCACATTAGCCTGTGATTTACCAATGATTTTGGAGAAGGGATTCATCTTTGGCAGCACAGATTGGTGCACAAAAATAAAAGAGCAGTTGTTGCATTCCCACCCTACAGTGAGGGAGGCATTTCAGAATAATGCAGCTGTCAAATATCTGTGCCTTCTTTGTCACCATTTCTTAACAGTGAGTGTCTAAGTATTCTTACATTGCCATCCTATTTTTCAACACCTCATAAAATATTGCAAAATTTAAACAAACAAAAAAGCCCCAAGCCCCACACATTTGTGCTTCAGAAGAGATCAGCCAGTGTGGGTTGGACTGAAATTTAAAGCTGAGAGCTGTAATTGCAAGGGCTTTCTCTGACTCTCCCTTGTCCTGGCATTTCCCAAGTGGAATTCTCTATGGTTTAAGTCCATAGGGCTGTCCTTATTCCCAGCCCTGCAGGCTCAGCTGTGTCCTATGAGCACGTGTCACTCACCCAGGATTTACAGCAGGGGATCTGGAATGGGGCTCTTCACTTCTCCCACACTTCACTACATTTACAGGGAGTACATTGAAGGAGGCATATAAAAAAAAAATACTTAATTTGCTGTGTTGTGGCTTTTTTTCCCTAGGTGGATGATGACAGCATTGAAGATCTTGGAGAAGTCAAGAAGTGATAATGGAGGACTACCTTTATTTAATTATATGGTTATAAATGATATAGCAAAAGTGAGGCTTCTAAATCCATTTGCTCTGCAGTGAAACTGTGGAGAACCCATGTCCTTGGCATTCTCACTGTTCTGTATAGGCTGCTTGGTTTTCTTTTTTGTTTTTGGGTTTTTTTTGTGATATTTGCCAAAGTTAAATTGGGGTTCTACCATGCTTAAGCATGAAGTAGATTTAAATAAAATTACTGTTCCTCACTGAATAGTTTCTGAGGTTTTTTACATCTGCTTTCCTCTACCTATCTTATGGGAAAATAAGAATTTAAGGCATTAAAAGTTTGTTTTTCATCTGCTGTCCTTTCTGCTGAGCTCAGCCGAATAAGGCAGTGGCTGATGTAGAGACTTTTACTTCTCATTTACCTGGAGAGAATTTTAGAAATCAGAATGGAACAAACATTCTGAAGGTTGGTTAGCAATGAAAGAACAGTGAATCCTGAAGAGGTTATTTTACATCCCTGCCAAGTGAGTTATTTTATTAAGTGGAAACTCTGAAAAAATGTGAATATGACTTAGAAATTTATCCTATTTTCATAATTCCAAAGATCTCCCAACCCTGCTGGGCTTCTTGGTGAGGCAGTTGTAACGGCTTCATGCTTTTAACCTGCTGCTCATTCAAGAATGGTAGTAATGAACACAAATTAATAATGAGCACTATTCCACAGGCCATGTTAGCAGGGTGGGGGGGTGCCAGCTCTGCTGTCTGTACTCCCACAAACAGCCTTGAGCATCGATTTGGTGCTTTTTGTTTCACTGTTCCATTTAATAACAATAAATGCTCCCTGGTGGCAGGGTCCTGGAAGTGACCTGTTCCTGTCACTGCAGAGCCTCAGTGAGCTGAAAGCCAAGGGGGTGATGTGTCAGACGCTCTGTTCTCTTCTGTAAGATTACTTTTTTCAGTGGTTTCTATTTATAAACCATGGGCGTGTCTGGAGAGATAACTCCATCCTTCTTGTTGGAAATAGTGGCTCTCAAGAGCTGCCTGCATCTCTACAGTCCTCCCATTTAACGCTGGACGGGGAAGTTGCTTCCAACCCTTAACATTCCGGTCTGGTTCTTACTCACCCCGTATTAACAACGTCATTAATTATCACATTTTTCTAGCAGCTCGAGCCCCGGAGTCAGGAGGCGGCCGCGGGATTCGAACCCGTGGCTGAAGGACTGAACCGGCAGCACCGGACTCGAACCCGCGGCCCCTTCGCTGCGGGGGGCGGAGCTTCTTCCAACGGCGGGCGGGGCCGGGCGGTGCCGGTGGGTCGGGGGCGGCCGGGGGTAACCGGGGCTAACCGAGGGTAATGAGTGGGGCCGGAGGGCAGGGGAAGCCCATGGGCTTAGGAAGGGGCCGCCCCAGGCGGGCGGGACAGCGGGGGAGCCCTGCCCGGGAGCGGGGGTCGCTCCCCGGGGGTGGCAGCTCAGGGCCCCCCCTCAGGCCTGCGCCCCCGGCCCGTCCGCTCCAAGGCCGCTTGTGCTCCCTCAGGGCCGTGAGGCGGCTGTGCGGCGGGGGAGCCTCCATGCTGAACGTGACATCCTTGAAGCCTTCCCGGTTCCACGAATGCCTGGCAGAGCTCTGGCCCCCAGTCCCCTATGAGTTCATCACTACAGCGTTCTGCTTCGCCCCAGGTAAAAGATGAAAGTGCCGTTAACAATCGGCTCTATTTTCGGTAGGAGGGTGCTCACTGTGCTGCTGCCGGGTTGAGTCATGGACCACAGGTGGTACCACCTCGTTCTGCAAAGGGCTTCAGTCAAGGGCCACAGGTGGTGCCACGAGCATAAGGAACTTCTTGGAACTTCTTCTATATTTATAATAGAAACACAGCTCAACTAAAAATAAACCCCTCGAGTTTATTATGAGAGAATTTGTCACTTCCTTGTGTTGAAATGCATTCCATGTCTCACCTTTTGTAGGCATTTAGCCCCGATCACAAGAACAGCATCATTAGGAGGCAGAGACAGGAGCTCAAGCTTTTAATTGCAGAACTGAAAGATCGTGACAAGGAGCTCAATGACATGGTGGAAGTGCACGAGAGACACATCCAGGCCTGGGAAGATGATCGCCAAAAAATACTGACTTTAGCAGAACGATGCAGTTTATTAACTAGTAAGTGTTGTGATATAAAGAATGACATCTTGGTCTATTAAATATGTTCAGGTGCTTCAACCCCTCAATAACAGTTTTGCATCATATAAGGAACCATTTCCTACCCTTCAGCCTTAAATGTTATTGTTCCTCTGAGATCTAAACTTCCACACTGGTGCTGAAGTGATCTGATCTTGAAGGGGCTGTGATGATCAGACTCTTTCTTGTCTGAATGTGTGAATTGCTTCTGTGAATTCTTTAAAAAAAATAATCTGATTAAATAAATGTGGGGGAAGAGGAAAAATGTGCAGCCTGCTGGCGAGTTACAGAGCCCTGTGCCCTGAGGTTCTGCTGCACAGCTCTGAACAAACACAAAACACCTGGTGGCTCTGAACAGTTTCAGTACAGAGCTCACCATGCAGTTTCTGTTCCATCTGACCTGGGTAGCCAGGGAATCCTCCTTCAGAGTGTGCAGCATAAGCATCCAGGTTTGAATTGTGTGATTTTAAAACACTGGGTTAAATTATTTCTGAGATTTAAGAAATTGCATGACAGCCTCTGAACTCTTTTCTCACATATAACTTTGTCTCCTTCCTTTTCAGGTGAGCTGAACGAGAGAAATGCAGTTATAAAATCACTGACCAAAAAGTTAAAGTTACTAGAATCCCAGCATAATGACAGTAAGATAACACTTGAAAGCACACAACAGAAGTTTAAAGAGCTCACTCAAAAAGTAACAGATTCATCTGTCCACTGCCAGGCTCTGGAGGTAGGGGTTGAGTGATGGTCTGGTTTTGTAGTCCATGCATTTACAGGGTGCCTGTGATGAGCTGTAACATTCCAAAACTGAGACATGCAGGGTATTAAGACCCTTGATCACAAACAAGTTGGGGAACAGTTTTTACTCCAGTCCACTTTTCTCCAGTTTGCTCAGGATCCCACGTTACCACTCACCATATTTCAATAATGTTGTGGACGTATTTACTGGGAAAAAATAATAACTTTGAATCACTGAAGTAATGGCTGACACTTATTTCTGTTCACTAGGAGAAAAATCAGAGTCTCCACTGCTCAGTTTTGGAACTGTCTGCTAAAACAGGCCAGCTGCAAGCCAGGGAACAGGAGCTTCTCTCCATGCTTCAGATGAAGGTAACATCTGTAACATCTGTCAGCTCGTGGGCACTAAATGTGGTCAAGCTGCAGTGCAGCTGTTGGTGACTGTGCCACAAGGCTTCTGTCCCTGGTGATCTCACTCATGGTTAATTCTTAGGCTTGTGTGAGAAGGGGAAAATGGTCTGCAATAAACTGGTTTGTTTTCACAAACAAGCTTGTTTCTAAGATTTAATTAGGTGGTTTTTTTCCTCAAAATCTCAGAAGGAGGTTGTGGATCACTTTACTGCAGAAGAATGTACTGTTTTTTTTCAAACCCATGATATTAAAAATAAGATTTCATTGTATTTCCTGTTTCAGGACAAGGCCTTAATTGAAACAACTGATCAGATTAGTGAGGTTACATCTAAATTTAAAACCCTGGAGAATGCCCTGCGTACAGCAAAGTTGGATGAATTCACTCGCAACAGGGAGCACCAGGACCTCAAGGTGACACTCAACGATGTCATGAGCCAAGTAAATAAGATGAAAGGTAAATGTTTCTGCTGGGCACCTAATTTAGTGTAGGGCCAGCATGATTCCTTTTCAATCTGAGAAATGCTACATTTTGCTTTGTAGATATCCTCTCTGAGAAGATGAAAGAGAGCAGCAAGAACCAGGAAGAAATCAGCCACCTGAAACAAGAAAATGGCTGCTTGAGGAGTGAGCTGATCCTGGCAGGTGAGGGTGGGCAGTTGGCCTTTCATGCCTTGGCTTTCAACAGCTCAGAGGCCTCTGGGCAGCAATTCACTGCTATCTGTGAAGGAGGCAGCTCGTTACCTGCCTTCCTTGCAGTTTAATAAAAGTATATCCCTTGTGTGCCATTCTTCTGTGGAAGCAATATCTGGGGCTTCTGCAGGGACACTTTATAAAATCTTGTGGAAGCACAAAGTTCACCAAAGTGATTACACAGGGAGGAGTGAGTGGCTCAGGGGACTCTCCTGAAAATGTTGAGACTTTCTCTTCTCTGTTGCTTTCTTTAGGTGATGGGATTGGTTTAGGCTGGTTTAATATGCAGGCCTTGGTAAACTGCATCTTGCTCTCCATAATACCTTTGGTTTTGGGTGGAAGAACATCTGGTGCTGCAGTGGATAGGAAAGGTCACTGCAACATTCTTGGGGACAACCACAGAGACCTTGAAAGATTTGGTGGCCAAAGGTGTCCTCTGCTGTCAGATAATTTCCTTGCCTATCATTTTTAATCTGCTATTTGACCTTTATCAGATATTGATGCCATGTCTCATTATTTTAAAACCAATAAAATTGGGAATTGTTTTGCTGCACTTCTCTCTACGTGCATGAATTAAAATCAATTAGCTGAATTTCCTTTATGCTTTCATCTTTTTTTTTCTCTTTTTCCCTTTCCCTTTTTCCTTTCTGAAAACATTAAATAAATCAGTCAGTGAAGCACAGTATTGCTGCTAGTAACATGAAGCCAGGTGCTGAGGAAAAGTCCAAGGAAAATACTTGAAATTTTGTTTTCTTGTGTGTTTTGTGCTCTTTTTATCTGGAGGAGAAACAGGTCCCATTGATCTTAAGAAAATGCTCTTGTTTTGTTTCGGTACCACCTCCTACTGCTACAGACACAGCATTAGCAATGCACCTGCTTTGTGTCTGTTCACCTGAAGTAATAAAACCAATTATTATCTTTTGAAACAGTGGAAGAAGCCCAGAGGAAGGATCAACTTTTTCAGTTTGCCAAGTCGAAGCAAGTGCGGATTGAAAGAGAATTGTCCAGTTTGCGACAGGTACAGCCCCGGTTGTGCCCCGAGGTCAGAGGAGCACTTACAGGAACACCAGACCTGTGTGGAATGGTGTAAAAAAGTTGGATCTAGACAGTATTGATTAAGGAACAAAGATCTGTTTGTGCCTTGCTGGGATCCCTGTAGAATGTTGATTTATTTCATTTGGGGTTAAGCTGAAAAGCCCACACTGCTTCCAGGCTTGGGAAGTGACGTGAAGGGAGCAGGATTGGGGTCACACACCTGCCCAAGGTGAACTCAGCTGAGTAAGGGACACAGTGTCCTGGCAGATCTGTTTTTCACCACCTAAACCCTGTGTGTTCACCTGCTCTCAGCTGAGGTTCTCAAAGCATGTTCCATTTTTTAATTGCAAATAATTGATGGGTAGTTACCTTCTCCATTAGCTTCACAAAAATCCCCTGCAGTCCAAGCCAAATCCCATGATCATCATCCATGTCCTATAATTCTGTAGCTGTGAACAACATAATAACAACACAAATTAAATATCAGGTAACGGTAATGATATTTTATTTATTGTTCAGTGTGGTTCCATCTTAGAAGAATATTCTAATTTCCTAATAGAAATCCTGTTTATTGCTGCAAAACATTATTTTCCTAAATATATGCAGAGATGGTCTCTTAGATTTGGAAGTCTTTGTCAATAATTTGACTACAGGCGTTGGTTTATAAAAACATTTTGAGGATGCTTTTGGTACTACCTGGTGATGATGTTCCTGCACCCAGACATTGACCAGTGCCCCTCACTGCCTCTGACAGGTCTGTGTGAAACAGCAGCGGGACTTGCACTTCCTCCATGTCAACTTTGATAGCTCTCAAGAATCCAGGCAAAAACATGAAAATGCATCAAGTGGGAAGAGGTAAAGACATTTTAAAATGTTTTTTTTCTTAAATAGTTTGTCCTCAAAGAGAGACTTCACTGTTCAGCCCCAGCTAAGGTCCTAACAGGGGTGTGTGCTGGGTCAGGATGGCTTTGCTGGACTCGACCACAAACATGCAGTGAAGCTGTCAAGTACCTTGTGTTTTATTTGGTCAGGAGAGACCATGAGCATCAGTCACAGAGCAAGTGTTGTAGCAGGCCAGACAGCTCATGATTTTTTTTAGGAAGTGAACTAGTCTGGTGGTAGGGGTGTTAACCTGGCTCCCTACTGCTTTTATTTAAAAAGCAAAGTTTATTTTAGGAAGTAAACTTAGAGAATCGGTGCACACCCTGGAGGCTCAGACAGAATCACCATACTGTGATTAAAACATGAGGGAACTCTCAGACTGGTTTTGAAAAGTAACAGCCAAATCTGGGCAGATTTTCTGTGGGGTTTTGGCAGGGTACAGCTGCCTGGTGGTGTGTGAGCTGCTGCAGAACCGTGGCAGAGCCTGTGTTCTGTAGAGCTTTAGGAGTGCACTTGGGGATGCTCTTTACCTGCAGTGTTTCTGACTTGTTTTTGTCGTGCCGTTGTAGCTCAGGGGCCACATTCTCTGCCTCTGAAAGCCCCAGCAGCAAGACAGACAAGGGTAGGACTGAGGGCAGCCACGGGATGTGCGAGGAGTGTGGAACTACACCAGTTCCAGCAAGTAGGGTAAAAGCCACCCCTGAGATGTGTGAAGTAGATAATAGACAGTTACTGAATGCTTCAGACTTGGAGGAAACTGCCTCAGCGTTGTTAAACCAGTGTCAAAAAGCTGTGAAAGGCTTGGCCCTGCCTGTGGAAGAAGGAGAAAAGCAGGATGTTACATCAAGCTTTGATGAGCTAGACAGTGAAAAATTTCATGAGGTAAACAACACAAGGCCATTGAGAAACAGGGAAATTGGAGAGAATGAAGTGAAAAGCAGAGACCAAAAAACCTTTGAGGTGTCTGTGCCTTCATATGATCGTTGGCTTAAAATCAAATCTCGTGTAGATTTGCAAAGCACTTTAATCCAGAGCAGCACCACGTCTGACAGAACTGATAATGGAAACAAAACCTGGGAAGAGAGATCTGACACTGAGTCTGGCCAAAAAAGCACAGAGACTCCTGCCACTTGCAAGTCTGACTCTGATTCCAGTATTAATAACTTCATTGTAATTAAAGACAAACAGTGGAAGCCACTCTCAGATCTGGAATGGCTGGAGATTTTCAAGCCCAAAAAGAGAGATGGAAATACAAGCCTTGGAAGAGATTACAGCTGTTGGGAGACTGCACAAGAGATGAAATGTACCTGCCTAAAAAGGTTATGAGTTTGTTGCCTTTAAGAAATAAGAATAAGCTAGACTATATAGAAACTTAGGTGTATAAGCTCTCAATATTAGTTCAAGCTATGTTTAGAGTAACTGCTGTTTTAAATTTAGTTTTTCAACCTGAAAAGTAACAAATTTAAAATAAAAATAGCTCTTAAAGTATCATGATTCTATTTTTATGCATTTATTTTTTCTCCTCTCTTATCCCCAAGAGCTGTGTGGGCAGGAGAATCTGCAATACCATAGTAACTTTTAGCCAAATAAACTAATTGAGAGAATCTTTAAGATTTTTTGAGATCTCAGGTGTTGCTCATAACTCTGATGGGTAAAATATGTTCTGACCAGAGCTGGACGTGTACAGTGATGTTTCTGTGAGGCAAGAAACAGATGCAGGTTTTGTGTGATGCTTTAGTGACTGTGTTACTTCTATTGAGAAAAATCACATCTTGGCTGGGCAGGAATGTAGGACACAGCTCTGAGCACGGGCTGCTGCCTCTGTCAGGGCAAGAAATGAGATGGCAAGATTTAAAGGACAGCAATCTGTCCACCCTCCAGCTCATGGGACTCTATCCTCCTGTTTGTGCTGTGGGAGGACAAGGACATGTGGTTGGGGACGAGCAGGATGAGGTTTCTAATGCTCAGAAGTGTCAGAAGAAGACCCAGGTGCCTCAGTGATGTTGGAATGTCTCCGAGATAAAAACCTGCTCTGCATTTACAGAAGTGGCTTTGTGCCTGCATAAGCAAAGGCATTCAGAGCTGGGACTTGCTGTGGATTTGTTCTGTTGGTTCCTCTATTCCTGTTCAAAAAATTGATTTACCCAGCTCTATTTTAGAAGGATTTCTGAAGTTTCACAGCGATTTCATAGCTGTTTTCTAGCCAGAGGAGAGGAGCCTTCCAGCTGGTGGTTTGACAAGCACAGTAAATGAACAGCTGTTTAAACCTGCTCACAGTGTTTGCCAGCAAGCCTGCCCAGCATCCAAACAGATTAATGTTATGGAATGGAAAGATCTGATGTATGGATGCTTTCATTCTGTGTGGCTTTTGAAACAGAAATATTGTAGGAATTGTTGCTGCAGTGAGACAGACCTGTTCAGAAACAAGGTGAATGGGCAGCCACTGAAAAAGAATGCTGGCCTGGCACATTCCCATGTGCCTTAGCTGAGCTTCCCTCTCTGTGTGGGCTCTCTTTAGTTTCCACTGCCTGTAAATCATTGGAAGGACTCCACTCCCCTTCTGTCTACCCTGACCTTCCTTACCAGCTCCCCCAGAAGCACCAATGACACTCTGCCATCCCTCCAACCCCCTTTTGAGGCTGCATCATGGAAGCTGCTTTCACTTTTTGTCTTGCCCTATTTGTCTTGTCCTTGAGTGAATTTTAAGGGGAAAGGAACAAATTCAAGCTGGGCAGTGCAGCTGGAAGATGTCCTCCAGTTAGGGGGAGCTGTGCTACCCATTTGGCATTTGCTGCTGAGCTCTCCAGTTTTCTTGATGGCCACATTTGGTCCTGGGGCCCTGCTAATTGGAGATGGATTGGCTCAGTGCAAATCCCTGACTGTCTGCTCTCTGCTGACTTGGATTTGGCAGGCAATAAATCCTCACCCCTACATGGGAGGAAGGCAGGAGCGTTGCTCCTGTGAAGGGATTAATGGCACAGACCAGCACAACATTCCTCCTGGGACTTGGATCTGGATCCTCCAGTTTTCCATTGCTGCTTTCAGAGTGCTGATGATGTAGTTTGTGTTTAGGGAAGGGTGCTGGCACCTCCCTGTCATCCCAGCAAATATTTTTGCCATGAGTTCCTGAGTTCTGGAACGGCCAACAAGGAGGCTGTTAACAGTCAAATGCCTTCCCCAGTGGCAGAGGGGATTGTGAAATCCCAGAGTGCAGGAATCATTTCCGTGTGCTCTGACTTGGTGACTTCATTTATGTTGGGCCAGCATTTGCTGCCTTTGGATTTTTATCTCAATTCTCATTTTACAGATGGAGCATCAGCAGGTACTTGTTGATTCTGCTCAGGCTGGACTAAACCACCCATTCCTGAGCCTTTTCCCTGCCTCAAAATCAAACCTGGGTCCCCTTCCTTTGCAGCCTGTGTGTTTTCCCTGCTCATCTCATCTCCTCACATCCCTGTTCCAGGCTGCTTGTTCCCTCACATCTCCACAGAACCTTTCCTTGTCAGAAACACAGACGTGAGCTTTTCTCTCTTATAAGAGAGCCTATTTTATCCCAGTGGTTTATGGGAGAAGTGAAATGGGACACAGCAGACACTCCTGAGCTGACAACTCTCATGAGGGCTTTTTCCTAGATTGAATGTCAGTTAAAAATGCACCTATTTTTAACAGTCTTGTCAGATATGGAATGCATTGTTACACCAAATTAAGTATCTAAAGAGTATCTACTGAAATGCCATCAATTCAAAGAGAATATTTGCTTTAAAATACACATCTTTTTTCATTGTTTGCCAGTCCAGGCAGGGCTAGCACTCTGCTTCTGTTGTGTTCAGAAGTTGATTAGTGTGGTTTGCCCCTATATTTCAAAATAAATCCAAGCCTCTTTGGGAAAGCTCTCCTGTGATCTCTGACATGAGATGATGACTTTAAAACTCTGAAATTCCCTCGAAAGCTACACCTACAAATATTAATTTGCCTAATGGTTGATTAGAAACAAAAAGATTTGGGTGTGAGAGGGGAGTGAGTAGCAGAAATTGGGAAGAGCAAAGTTTTGCCTTTTGTGTGCTCTTTGCAAGGTTAAATACACTCAAACCCATGGTCATGGAGCTGGTTGAGACTGGTTGAAAGTCAAACCCTCATCCTCAGAGGATGAAGGTGATCTAGGGAAGCTGTTAAACATGGGAATGCTCTGAGGAGCAGGGTAATCTCCCAAGCTTCTTGGTTTCCTTGGCTCAGGGCCCACAGTTATTTATGTTGTGCCATGATTTCCCCTTGAAAGTTTAAAAAGGATGGTGATGCTGCTTCTGCCAATGTCTTAATTTTTTTTTTTAGCAGTGAAGAAAACGTGGATCTGAATTCCCTCCGCTTGGCTTCTCCTCTCTTGGCATCCACTGAGAAGAGCAACAAGACTCAGAGTTCTGGGAAATTATCTGATGAAGATTCCCCTCTGGACATCAATGACCTGGCAGTGACCAAACCAACAAAGAGATACTGCATGAACACAGTCAGTATCTTATTGCACAATGTCCTTGGTTGATTTTGAGGGGAATTATGGGGAATTATGACTGATGCTAGGAATGCAAATGTCTCCAGGCATGGAAGAACTGGGGACTCAAATGATGAGACAGCAGGCTTATGGCAAAGGTGATAACTTTTTTTTTTTTTAAATAGCTCCTTGTTGCCTCAATATGTCTTGGACAGCATAAGTATAAATGAATTTATAAAAAATTAATAAGGTTTTGGAATGAAAAGCTTGAGGAAAATGGATGCTGGCTAATTGGTAATTCCACTAAATATCTGGGTGGACATGGATGCAGTTATCAGAAGCTCTTGAGCATTGTTTCTTTCCTGTTCTGCTTGGTTTTCCCTGTTTCTCATGTCTTTATTGTCCCCTTTATCCCTGAAGTACCTCTCTGGTGAGTGCTCCATATACCTGCATGTGGAAATCTGTTTCAGATGGCACTAGGAGAGAGCTCTGTGTTTATCAGAAACACCAGCAGTAGACACAGTCTGTTACTTTGCAGTATATTGAACAGAAACATTTCAAAATCAAAATGCTGATTCTTGGTGCATTATAATTGTGTGAAATACTCCAAAAAAGAAGATCCTTCCCTAACTTTGTCTCCCTGTCTGTGTCCTGCAGGACACCAGTTCCCTGTTCTGGAAGCTGGAGCGCTCGTTGGCCCAGTCCCGGCAGATGCTGACTGACCTGGAGCTCAGCCTTCTCCACACAAGCATTCCCAACACCAGCAACAAGAATAAGGTACAGATTGCTCTCCCAGGATGAGGGTGAGGTCCCAGGGATGCTGATTTGGAACATCCTTTCCCTTATGCTTGGCTTGCACTGCATTAGCAAAGCATGAGGAGGATATTGGTTACGAAGAGACACTTCCTGCATGCCTTAGTGCTTGAATTTTTTATAGGATTCTGTTTGGCTGCTCAAGGTCATGACAGGATTTGACTCCTGCATTTGTCTGAACAGATGGAAGGCAGAAGTCATTTTGGGGCAAGCTGTAGGAGGTCTAGAAAAAAGTGAACACTGGTTCTTTCTGACCTGAAGCAAATTAGGTGATTTCTCAGGCTCAGCACACACTCACTGCTCTGCTGTCACAGAGACTCACAGTCAGACCTGGTTTATTATAATATTCATGGAAAGGAGGGCACTATAGGGAATATATAGGGTACTTTGGGTGTGAATTTAAACCAGAAGCTCAGCTTCAATAAAGGCAGAGTTCTTGTGGGTTGGTAGTTTTAGCTCCTTCATTGCAAGGTCAGAGAATATATTCAGTGGTCAAAGAAAAGAACCTGTATGTAGCTGTCATAGCAGTTTATTTTATGAGCACAAGTGCTGATAAAGTTCCTGTTGAGTATTTGGGCAGCAGAAGTAATCAGAGAAAGGGTCACTTGTTTGGTGGGTAAATATCCATAAGAATTTCTACCTTGTTTGGCAAGGACATTGTGCCTTTTGTCCCTAGCAATGAGCACACTTGTGCTGGTGTATATCCCAAAGGGAGGATTTAGGCTCCTGGTTTCAGGGCAGTGCTGAACCCTCACCTTCATCCTCACACATTTCACCTCCCTCTAAAAAGTTGCACTCCTTTTAGCCTTAGATGAACCTGGCCAGAACAACGTTGCTGTAAGGAGCAGACAAAGCCATTTTTATAACATTCAGAACCATAAACCCTTGGCTGTGCTGGGCCTGACTGTAAAGGTTGTGTGCCAGCGTTTGCAGAAACTGAAAGGATATTTTGTTCAGAAGTTCCTCTGCAGGATTTCATTCAGTGGCAAAGACAGCAGCAGTTTAGTCTTTTGCAAAGACTCCTGAGTAGGAGGATTCCTGAAAAGCTCCCTGCACACAGTGCTTGCTTGTGGCTCTTGCCCAGCCCCATCAGCTGTCTGGCTCCTGCTCACTGCTTGGCACGTCACAGCTCAGCTCCTCTGTCTGCCCATGACTCTGCTTTAGGATCTGATGCTGCATTTTTGAGCTTGGAAATTGGCTTCTCCTTCAGCTTTAGTGGATAGAAAATGAAGCAAACTCGTGTGTAGTGGCGGGAGCAGATCCTGAGCCACATCTGTGCAACTTTGATCTCCTTTCAGAGCAGTCCTGGGCAAAAACTCGTCAAGCGTGTTTGAGTTAATGTATGCAGGCCTAACCTGTGCCTCAAACCAGGCTTACCTGGGGCTGGTCTAAACTGAGCTTTAGAATGGAATAAATATGAGATACAGCCTTTGGAATTGCATCAGGGGGAAGTGGTACATGTTGGATTCTGTGCCCTGCTGGGACAGAGAGGAGAAGGGGGAATTAAGAACTGTACCCCTGCTGCTCAGCAGCTTCAACCTGGCAGCTCTGGAAATTTTATTCTATGAGTCCTTTGATTTCCATGTAGTGTTTTTACATTACAATAGAAACAACAGAACTCTTCACAGAAGCCAGTTACCTGCTGCAGAAGAAAGAGATGCAAAGCTTCCTTTTTTTTCTCTGTGATGTTCCCTGAGCATGGAAGTGTTTTCAGCTTGATCTTTTTTTGTTTGCTTCCCTCTTTATAAATGCATCTGCAATATTAATACCCTTTATGGATTTTTGAGATGGGCCTAGCACAGGATTCTAAGTGCATTTCCAATAAAACTCTTGTGAGTACTGTAACAGCAAACAGATATTCAATCAAGTAGTTCCTTTAGCCAAATAATTAAACTTTTCTGAAGCGTGTTCCTCATCCTTGGGGCAGTCAGGTCTCACAGCTTCATTCCCCAGTACCTGCACCCTCCTTATTGTAGTTAAAACCCTTCTGTGTGTTACAGATAACAGGATCAAGGATGTGAACATTGTTGAATGAGAGATTGGGAAGTTTTTTCCAGTGCCAAGGCCAAGGGCTGTTTTAGGATACTGTTCCTGGGCTCAGAGCCCCAAAAGTAGAATGTATTGAATAGAGCTGTTTCAGAATATCCAAAGCAGCCTTGCCCACAGCAGATTGGTTTTTTCTTTTTGAATCAGGAAATTTCTCACTCTCTGATTATTTGTTCTCCTATTGTGGATTGGATGCTTGCAGTAGGCACCACCTTGTCTGGTTCTGAGGACAAAAGAGTAACCAGATATGGTTAAAATCCTGAACACCACATGAAACTGAATAAGAACCAGCAACAATGAGGAGAGAAACTGGCAAAAAAAAAAAAAAGAAAAAAAAAAAAAAAAAAGAAAAGAAATCTCCCAGTGCTGACACAACCCAAGCTGGTTCCTGCAAAGGAAGCTTACCCCACAGCCAGCTGGGGCTGACACTGTGTGACACCAGTTGTGGATCAGCCTCCATCCCCTGGGGAGCTGGTGCTCTGGGATATTCCAGCTGCAGTCCCTGAGCTGTTGTGCCCTGGGGAGGGGACTCAGGCTGGTTTGTGTTCTGCTGGCTCTGCATTAAGCCTGGGGACGCTGAGACTGCTCTGAGAGCTGTGGGGTCTGAGGAGAGCAGCTGATGGGGCAGCTGGGAGATGGGTGCTGAGTAGCTGCAATGCCAAACCTCCTGTGCACACAGAGAGCTCTTCTGTTCCTGAAAAGAGCCCTGAGGTAAAAGCAGCCAGGGGTTTCATAGGTTGCAGCCAGCACTGTGACTTGCATCCTGAAACCACTGATGTTACAAAGCTTCAGGAGCAAATCCCCAAAAGTGCTGAGCCCCATGCTGAGGCAGCAGAGTGGGGAGAGCACGCTGAGCCTACAGAAATAATCACATTTGCCTCAAGTGAGAAAGAGCTGGTGGAACAAACACACCACAATCCAGTGTAGATCCATGACAAGCATGAGTGGCTCTCCAAGTCACTGGCTAATGCATAATTCTCATTTTCATTCTGTTTTAAAAGGCACTGAATTACTGTGATCAGTTAGACCTGAAGCAGAGCAGGTCCAGAAATAACCAAACACTGGTGCAGTTTCATATACCGAAGTGATTGAATTGATTTTGGTTGTGTTTGTTTGGTTTTAAATTGCTTTGAAACTCATTTGAGGGCAGGTGCACTGACAAACATTAGGGCAGTTTCCTCCCTAGCTGCCAATGATTTAGCCATTCTCATCAGTCAGTTGTTTTGCCTCTAGAGAGAGGTTGGGTGGGGGAGAGTGAAGAACTCAGGAGGAAGGCAGTGAGGAAAAGGCTATTTTCAGTTTTGGACACAGCAGCATGTGCCAGTGCTCATACATGGTGACTCAGTGGCTGGCCTGGGGCACAAAGATCACTCCTTTCCTGAAAGCCAACTGGAAAGGTTTTTTATTTCCCAACATCCCAGTGGTGGCCCTGAGACTGTTGCTTTTCTGTGAAGTACTTTGTTTACCTTTTCCTCTTTATATTTCACTCCATGTTCTTACTCTGTTTGCAGTGTGAACATTTGTGTAGCAAATTCACATAAGAGTGGTTGCTTCAGATATTTCAGAGGAAATGTTCCTGCTTTTTAATAAAAATCTTTTCCATTTTCTGCAGAGGAAGAAGTTGGTTCCAACACAGAGGTAATTGTGAGGACTGAAGACATTGACCCAGCAGCTACAATGGAAAGTTACCTCATTTTTTTTTCCCGTGGTCCTCCTGAGTGTTTGAAAGACCCACAAGTGGCAAGAAGATCTGACTCTGCAGGAATGTATTTTATCTTGAAATAAAACACAGAATTACACCAAGATTAACAGAGCTATTTTTATATCTGAGAGCTCAGGTTAAACACCAGCTTGTTTTTTAAGAGTCTGAAGTGTGTAATCGTTACAACATCGGAACTATTTTTCTTTTTCTTTTTTTTTTATGGTGGCTCAGAAATATTTATAGAGTATGACACAGCCAAGCATTCTCTTTTTTTTTTTTTTTATAGCACATTGTTTTTGTTCTGGATTTCTTGCCTTGTAGAGAGAGATGAATAATGTTTATAGGAAGTTCCCAATTAGTGTTGTAAGCAGGAACTGCCTCCGATGTTGCTGAAATGGGAGAGCTGTCACCCACAAGATGGGCACAACAACTTTCCACACTCAGGAGCTGGCTCTTCCCAAAAATGTTTATGGGATCAGGTGTGTATGGCCTCTGTTTGCACTGCAGAGGTAGCCAAGTATGATGTGACCTTTTTTTAGCATTTAAACTGGATTTATGTTTGCTGATTGGGCAAGATGTGCTGCTATCACAACTTGAACTTGCTTTTTAACAAAGAGATCAAATAAGCTGATAAAGGTGATACTTTGCTGTGTCTCTCTTGCCCATTTAACACATTTAGCACTTGATTTCTGACATTTCTCAGCACAGACACGAGTGGGCTGCCCAGTCCTGTGTGGGTTGGGAGCACTTTGGGACACCAGTGCCCCTCCCACAGCCCTGTGCCAGCGTTTTTCCTGCTGGGGGGAGCCAAGGGTGGGAGTTTCTGCTCCATCCACTGCCACCCGTTATTGCAGAGAAACACAACACTCCGTGGATTCCCCTTGTTAACTCTTTCCTTTCATTTTCTGCTTTCTCTTTAATTACTCCAGTGACAGCCTTTCCTGCAGGTATTAATGGCCCCAGAATTAGGTTCTGTGCCAGTTCTGATGAGAGCTGCTCTTCTCCAGACTCTTTCCCTGCCTGCTCACCAGTGTTACCCAGAGGGAAGCTCAGCTGCTCCAGCTCTTTCCAGGTTTCCTCAAGCCTTTACAGTGCATTTATTCCTCTACCTGCACAGAACCTTTTCAGGCTCCATCCTCACAATCTCCTGCTCTGGATATGACAAGAATTCTCCCTAAAAAGCCAATGATGACAATGCCACGATGCTCACCCTAAAGCTGTCCAGCAGCTACACAGAGAAATTGGTGCAACTTCCAAGCAGCAGCTGCATTTAAATGGTTTTGAGGTTATTGGATGAACTCACTGAGTTTAAACCCCTGGAGAGTTTAAAATGATGACTTTAAAATCAATATAGAAAACTGGGCTCAAGTGATGCATCAAGGATCTGCAGAGCCTTAGGATTTTGTGTCGGGGCTGCCCTGGATTTGTGGAATGGGAAGCAGGGAAATAACTGGGTTAATTTATTCAGCACTAAGTGACTTAAAACCCAGCTGCATTATTGACCACACTCTGATGCTCGAATGGAAACGCTTCAAACTCGGTGCCTTAATTCTGGAAGCAGCTCAAATACTCCAGGGAGCCCTTTGCTATTGTATCCTTGATTTGAATTATTATTTAAAGACAACAAAGCTTCTGTTCAGCCACGGCCTTTCCGCAGGGTGGATGCGAGCTCCGGTCATTGACTTTGGTAACGGGAATTGGTGTTGGAGCCGCGGGGCTCAGGACGAGCTGTGTCCAAGTGCGGTGGGAGAGGGGCGAAGATGGGCGCTCAGATGGGACGAGCGTGCTGGCGGTGACCGCCGCTCCTGGCGTTTCCTGAGCGGGGGAATCGCCTCGGTGCCTGGTGCCCGCGGGGGTCGCTAAGGAACGTGTCCTCCCCGCTCCGTGTCCCTGCTCCGTGTCTCCTGTCTGTGTCCGTGTCCCCTCCCCCTGTCCCCTCTCCGTGTCCCCTCTCGGTCCCCGTGTCCCCTCCCCGTGTCCCCTCTCTGTCTCCGTGTCCCCTCTCTGTCTCCGTGTCCCCTCCCCGTGTCCCCTCTCGGTCTCCGTGTCCCCTCCCGGTGTCCCCTCCCCGTGTCCCCTCCCCGTGTCCCTCCCGGTGTCCCCTCCCGGTGTCCCCCCGGCGCTGTGCGGTCCCACCTGCCCGCGGGGGGAGCGGCTCTCGCTGCAGTTCCGTGTGCGGCCGCCAGGGGCGCGGTGGGGCGCGGCGCAGTGCGCGGCCGGGAGGGGCGAGGAGGGGGGGGGGGGCGGCGCCGGTCGCTCCTGCCCCGGAGCGCGGAGCCCCGAGCGCCGATACCGGAGCGCGGATACCGGAGCGGGGAGCTCCCAGCGCGGCCCACCATGAACAGCATCAAGAGCGTGCCGGCGCGGGTGCTGAGCCGCCGCGGCGGGCACAGCCTGGAGGCGGAGCGGGAGCAGTTCGACAAGAGCCAGGCAAGGACGGCGGGAGGGGGCCGCGGGACCGGCCGCGGTGACGGTCCCGGTTTCAGTCCCGGTCCTGCTACCGGCTCAGGGACGGGGCGGGCCGGCTCTTTCCGCGGGGCATCGTCTCGGGGCGCGCTGGGCGCGGGGGCTTCTCGGGCGATGGGATGAGACGGGATGGGGGGCGCGGGTCCCCGCCGGGCTCCGGGGAAGCCCCGGTGGGGCAGCGCGGCCGCCGTCCCCCTGCCCATCCCCGCGTCCGCCCGCTGTCCCCGGTGCCGCGCGCTCCCCCGCCCCCACCTGCGCCGCCGCTTCCTCCCGGCGCGGCCGCGGGACGGTCCCGCGTGGGCACCCGCCCGTCCCGCCGCCCCCGCGCCCGTCCCGGCGGCCGCGGCCCCGCCGTGCGCCGCCGCCCCCGCGGGCAGCCGGGCCCCGCGCCGGCCGTGCGCCCCCCCGCACCTCCCGGGCCTTATCGCAGGTAAACACGGCCGGCAGCACACGGGGAAAGTTTTACGGTGATGGCGGGAGCGTGGCCGAGCTCGGGGCTCCGCACCCCGGGAATGGGCATCTCCGCATCCCTGCCGAGCCCCGGCCCCACCGACACCGCGAAATGTTTCGCACCGGGGCTGGATTCACCCCTGCCCCGCGGCTCCGGGTCACCCTGCGGGGATCGGGGTGTTTGGACCCACGGAGGGCGCAGAGTGGAAACAAAGCCCAAAGGTGTTTGTGCCCCATCGTGTCCGGCTTGGCCGGCGTGTCCGTACCCCTGTGGCCCCCACGGGGTGCGCAGTGCTCGGGTACTGGTGGGGCTGGCATGTGGCTGGTGGGAAATGAAGTACTCAGACAGCGTGGGCAGGGATGGGCACAGGGATGGACGGAGTGACGGGCTCGCTGCTGCCCCAGCAAAAATAACAGTGCCCTCCCGCATGCCTCCTCTGACCCCTCTGCTTTTGCAGGCTGTGCATTCATCGCAGGTGTTTTCCCCTTTGCCCCTTTGCTTTGCGGTTCCTTCCTCAGCCCCTGGGCTGGTTTGGCCCCGGAGAGCGCCGGCGAAGGCAGGTGGGAATTTCAGGCCTCGCAGGGTCACGGTGCTGGGTAGGAAACGGAGCTTGCTGGGTTTGGGGAGCAGCACGGGAAAACCGGCAATTCCGGTTCCCTCTGGACGCGTCTCCTTCACTCGTCCCGTTGGGCAGCGCTGATCAACGATCGCGGCCGCAGCGCTGCCCCGTGCGCCGGGGGCTGCCCCTGCCCTCCCGGGGCATCTCGGGCTTTTCACTGGCACTTGTGCTCTGGAAATCCCTGCGGTCACAGGGATGGAGACATGGACAGGGCAGAGAGGTGGTTGCTCTCTGGCTCGCTGGCTGATGGTCACATTCACTGCCCAGAGCTGGCCTTTTGTCCACCAACTGCTAAAAACTGTCCTAAAGGAGCTTTATTCTGGTGTGGTTTCCTGTAGTGGTGCTTCAGTGGGAGCAGAACTGTTCAGTGTCAGAACATGGGTATTGATCTGCCTTTTACCTCTAATTATAGCAGCTGCCCAGCCGGCTGCCAGTCGCCTCTGTGTCACGGGGGTGCTGGTGGCACGTCCCCTCCTCATCTCTGTGTCACGGGGGTGCTGGTGGCACGTCCCCTCCTCATCTCTGTGTCACGGGGGTGCTGGTGGCACGTCCCCTCCTCATCTCTGTGTCACGGGGGTGATGGTGGCACGTCCCCTCCTCATCTCTGTGTCACAGGGGTGATGGTGGCACGTCCCCTCCTCATCTCTGTGTCACGGGGGTGATGGTGGCACGTCCCCTCCTCATCTCTGTGTCACAGGGGTGATGGTGGCACGTCCCCTCCTCATCTCTGTGTCACGGGGGTGCTGGTGGCTCGTCCCCTCTGCTGCCTGAGGTTTCTGTACCAGAACCCTGAGCCCTGTCACCTTTTCCCCTGTGAGGGCTCGGGTGATGTCTGTAGTTACAGACAGGAGCTGCTGACCCTGCTGTGATCCCAGGTCTTTGTGGGTGACATGAAGGTTACCTGCTTTCCCTGGAAATGCTTTTCCATGTCTTGTGTCAGGGTGATGTAGATGTCTCCCTCGGAGAAGCCGTGTGTGGGAAGTAGGAAATCACCATCCCACGGCAGGCGCTTGCTCGGCAGCCTGGCAGGAGGAAAAACTTGTCCTTTTCTGCTGCCAGTTTTTGCTTTTCTTAAACAAAAAGATTAAAAATCCAATGAGCTCTGGAACCCGCAGGATTGCATTGTGTGTGAGTGCCAAGTGGTGTTTTCCTGGTGTAATTTGGGAAGGAGCAGCATTAGGAAGGGAACTCTGGAGTTCATAGCTCAGCTGTTCTGACAGCTCTCGTGCTGCCTGGCCAGGGGAGGCTTCCAGCTGCCAGATAATCTCTCCTGCTGTGGCATCGTGCTGGGACCCAGCATCCACCTGCTCCAGGGAGCTGTGGGCAGGAGGATCAGCCCTAATTAAAAACAGCCAGGAATGAAAGGGTGGATGTGCTCCTTCATTTGGGTGCTTTGATCCCGGCTTTAGTCACCGCCTTGGAACGTGCAGGCTGTGAGCAAAGCACTGGGGCTGCAGCCCTGTGGGATCCCACAGCCCAGGGCCAGGCAGGTTTTGGGGTTTGCTCCTCACCCCGGTGCCTGCCAGTGATGGGGAGCAGCCCACAGGTTGCATCAAAGCTTTGGCCAGGCTGGTTGTGCACCTGCAGTGGCAGCCAGGACCTGCCCATCTCCGGACGTGCCAGTGGTGTCCCAAGAGGTTGGGTCAAGGGTGAATCTCCCCATTTTGGAGCCACCCTCCAGAGCCTGGCTTTGCCAGCCAGGCAGCAGGAGCATCCTGCCAGCACAGTGTGCTGGGCTGCAGCATTGCCCCGTGCTCTTCCCTGCTGCCACCATCCCATTTCCCTGGATCTCCTGGCCAGTTTGATGCTTGGAGGCACTGAAAGCACACGTGGGCCTGGCATTGGTTTGGTGCCACTGTGGTTTATTTGGGACCATGCTGGACCCAGCGTCTCGTGGTGGTGCTGTGGGTAGGCTGGGGCTGCTCCTGCATGGGTCCAGCCCTTGTGCTGGACATGAAATGGCTCAGTGAAACCTCTCCACTGAATCCCCAAGGATGGAACCAACTGCTCCAGCAGCTCCTGGGCTGAATTTTGGCTGGTCAAGCTATCAGTGAGACTAAGGGCAATAATTGCAATAAAACCACCACTGCCAGTGGGAATTACAGCTCTGTTTTGAGACAGTCCAGCAGGGTCCCAGCTCACTCAGCAGCTGAGGTCCTGTCCCTGGGGATAGGGGACAACATTTCCTGTCCTGGGGTTCTGCATGTCTCACACTTTGACCCTTCTGGCTGTGCCTCCTCTGACTCCTGTGGGGCTCATGGATGGGTTGGGATGAGCGTGATGGGCTGGGTTTGGACCTGTCTTAGGGCAGGCAGCAAAACTCCCAGTTTGGGAGACGTGTCTGCCCTGCTCCCTCTGTGCAAAACACCTCAGGAAAGATGCAGGAAGGATTTCCAAATCCTTCCTTGCCCGGTCCAGGATAAGCCATCCTTTCTGTCAGCGTCCCCTGGGAGGTGCTGGCATCCCTGAGGACCTGTGGCACATCTCTCTGGCCAAGCTGCCATCGAGGGCACAGCCTGTGCCAGCTCCAGGCTTTTGGGTGGCTGTGAAGGCACTTTGGGAGAGGCAGCTGTGCTGCAAGTGCCTGTTCCTGGGCACTCCAGGCTCGTTAACCTTTGGGGATAAGAGGATTACAGCAAGTCACCGGCTTAACTCCACTGCTGCTTTACGGCCCCACATGGCGGGGTAAGCCCGGGACTCTCCTGTGCAGGAAAGGCAAAGCCAGCCCCTCTCCCCAGCAGCTGGGCTCAGCCTTTTGGCACAGGTTAGCTCTTTGGGATGATTCAGAGTTTTGCTGCTGTCACAGTCAGTTCCTGGGTAGCTGTTCTGGACCTTTTGGGGTGGGTTTGGTGCGTGGACACCTTTGACATTGCCCCTTCGGTGTCGGGTTCCTCCTGCATAAGTCAGGAGCACTCGATAACTCGGGGTCAGGTTCCTCCTCCTATAGGAAAGTGCCTCATTTCACAGGTATCCCTGGACAAGCAGCCACGTGGAAGCAGGTGCTTTCCTGGGCAGGTAGATGGGATTTTTATAAGGCTTTAGGGCTGAGGAGCTGCAGGGAGGGACCGAGTTCCTCTTCCGGGACAAGTGCTGGCAGCGGGGTGGCTTCCTGCCTTCCCAGCTGGGACCTTTTTCCTCTGCTGGAGACAGAGGGCTCACGGACACAGGCACAGCCCAAGCACTCCTGCGAGGCTGAAGCAGCTCAGTTGAGTCTGAGGAGGAGGAGGAGGAGGAGGAGGAGGAAGATCCTCATCAAACACAGCAACTTGGATTTGCAGCCCATCAACACATGGGGGATGCAACTGACCCCACTCTGGGGTCATCTTTTGGAATAAATTCCTAATTTAAAAGTCTGCTGTGATCAAACACATCAAAATATAGATAATCCTCTTCTGATAATCACATTGCTCTGGATTTTTGCTCCATCAAGATGGGCATTGAGGCTGCCACTCCCTCCTTGCTTGGGGGCTGCTTTTCCCCACGTGCTGTTTGCACGCAGCAACATCCTCAGCAGAACCCAAACCACTCCCCCGTGGTTCAAAGGCTCCTTGTGATTACACAAACAACCCTGGAATTTGGCATCTCACTATTGTGCTTTAATGTTCCCCGGGCACGGCGCTGAGTTCAGGCTGCAAAAATGCAAAAATTGGTTTCCTGGGACAGGGACAGCCGGGAGCACCAGCAGCAGTGGTCAGATCCTGCTGGGGATGGGGGCTCTAATGGATGCTTTGTTTGTGGATAAAAAGGCCTATTCTGATGTGTTACAAATGACTTTGAGGTGACAAATGTGTTCTGAAATTCAGGGTATTCCCCAAGAGCACCAGCACTGCACTTTGGGATGTCGGGGTAGCCATGGAGGTCTCACCATGTCTGACAGCCTCTGTCCCCTCTTCTTGCAGGCCATCAGCATCAGCAAAGCCATAAACACACAGGAAGCACCAGTGAAGGAGAAACATGCCCGCCGTATCCTTTCCCTTGGCTCCCAGGACAGCACAGAGCAGTTTGGGCTCTGGGGGTGTCACCCCCTGATGCTGGAGGAGATTTGGGAGACAAAGACCCGTGCAGAGCTCAGCTGGGGGCTGGCATCACAAAGGTTCATCCATCAGTGAAAAGGCAAATGAGCAGTGCAATCAAATTGCATTTCTTTGGCAGTAAAATGCAGAGGGCCCCAGTGTGCCCTCAGCAGGGGGAGGTGCACCCAAAAATGACATTTGAGGTTTTTATTTGGGGGTGCAGCATTGTGTCGGTGATCCCTGTGCTCACGGGGCACCCAGTGTCCCCTTTTCAGTGAATGTTGAACGGGAACAGCCCCAGCCCAGCCTGTCCCCTGCTCTGTGTGTGTCCAGTTGGCCTTGACTGCCCTGGCAGGGATCATCCTGGGGACCCACCACGAGAAGGGAGCCTTCACCTTCTGGTCCTACGCCATTGGGCTGCCCCTGCCCAGCAGTGCCATCCTCAGCTGGAAGTTCTGCCACGTCCTGCACAAGGTCCTGCGTGACGGCCACCCCAACGTGAGTGTCCCCTCTGCCACCTCCCCTCTGCTCCTCTCCCAGGGGGGAATTTCTGGCTCTTGCCAGCATCCCTCTGCACAGGGAGTGGGATCCCTCCCCTACCCCAGCCACCTTTCCCAGGCATTCTGTTGTCTCATATCTTTGAAACTTCTCAGTGTAAATCCCCGCCCTTTGGGTGCTGAGGGAAGGCTGGAACTTCTCCCAGAGCTGGAGTGGTGTAAGGGGCTGGATCCCTCCTCTTCCCTAGCAGCAGAGCAGACAGCCAGCCCCACTGTGCCACATCCTTCATTTTTGTGTCCCCAGGTTCTCCAGGACTGCCAGAGGTACCGCAGCAACATCCGAGAGACGGGGGACCTGTGGGTGAGTGGGGCAGAGTGCAGCTTTGGGCCTCCCAGGGGTTTGGAGATGGCTGATGAGGAGCATGGTGGGCACAGAGAGGGTGAAGCACTGCCTGAAGCCATCTGCTGTCTCTTTGGGTGGTGGTTGTGTGCATGGTGGAGCCACTGGCTCGTGTGGATCTGCTGGGTCTGGTTACCTCACTGTGGATTCCCCTGTCTCCCCTCGTGTCTCTGCAGGGCCATTTGCACGACAGGTACGGGCAGCTGGTGAACATCTACACACGGCTCCTGCTCACCAAGATCTCCTTCCACGTCAAGGTGAGACCTCTGCCACCTCCACAGCACTGGAACGAGGGGATGTGCCACGCCAGCAGCAACTGATGGCTTTTTCCTTCCTTTTACAAAGCATCCCGAGTTCCCCCCAGGCCTCGAAGTGTCGGATGAGGTGCTGGAAAAGACTGCAGGGACAGATGTGAACAACATGTGAGTGTCCTGAGTGGGGCCCAGAGCCCAGGGTGTGGTCACCAGCTCCATGACCCCCAGCTGGCACTGTCCTGCTGACAAACCCACCCCAGGATGGGGCAGGCACCAGGATTTTGTGAATTGTTTGGGTGGTGCCCGATCCCTCCTGCACCCACAGAGCACCGTGGGGTGTTAATGCAGGGAGAAAAAGCCCCAAATTTTTGTCAGTCAGAGCCCTTGCCATCATGGGGACCCTGAATGAACACGAGCAGCTGGAGCAAAGATGTCTCTGCTATCAAGTGATGGAGTTTTGGTTTGTTTTGGCAGCTTCCAGCTGACGGTAGAGCTGTTTGACTACCTGGACTGTGAGCTGAAGCTGTCGGAGTCAGGTGAGGAGGCGGCAGGCGCAGGTCCCTCCCCTTGCCCTGGGGCTCTTGAGCAATAGTTTCGCTCTTTGGTCGGGAATGGAGTTCCGGGAGGCCGAGGTTGGAGGCTCAGGTCCCTCCTCCTCCTCCTCCTCCTCCCATGGGATTTCTGAGGTGGTTTCTCAGCTGGATTCTCCCGTTGAAGCTTTGTAGAGGCAGTTGTAGGAAAATATTTAGAGCATGTGGCTGCTTTGAGCCCACCTGAGCAAGGCAGAGTGTTGTTTTCCGTGCAGAGCTGCTCTGAAATACGTTTTTATTTCTTTTTTGCACAACCACATTAATTATATCCATTCTACAAATCCCTTCTGTCCCTCTGAAGCAGAGGACGGGGCTGTACTTCTTTTTAAAGACTCATTTCCCCTCATTGAAATGCCTCTGGGGAGGGCTGGAGGCCCCTGCTCATGTCTCTCACCTCCTCAGGAATTTTTAGATGGCTTAGAGAGGTGGCAGATTCTTCCTCTGCCGGGGTCAGGAACACGGAGCTGCCCTGGAAAACGGCACAGCGGGAGAGACCGAGCTCCCAACAGCCTCCTGCTTCTCCTCCTGACCCAGTTATACAGAGAATTTATATTCATAAATACTTTAAAGCTGAGCAGGGAAGAAGGCAGGGTGGATGTGCTGCCTGGATCCCTGCCAAGGGAAGAGATCTGTTTCCGAGCAGGGGCAGGCAAGGCTGCGGTGCCGCCGGGCTCGTCCCCTGCCCTGGCATCCTCTCCCAGATCCGTGCATGATTAAACAGAATGGAGCCAAACCTCTCACTTCCCCCAGCTGTCTCGTGCAGCAGCAGCTTTAGTGCAGCGTCCTGGGGTTAAATCTCTCCTTTTTGGGGCTGGGGTATCCACGGCAGAGCTGAGCACCCCTTCCCTGTGCCAGTGTGGTCCCTCTGGGTGTTTGCGCTGCTCAGAGCAGGGTTGTTCTCAGCGCAGGAGCAGCCCTGGTGTTTCCCCCGCCCCACATCTGCCGTGGTTAATGATCAAGCAGCGTGGCAGGGCACGGGCAGCTCTGCAAACACGGCTCCCCTCAGTTTTCAGGCAGCTCAACACCTCCATGGCCGTGTCGCAGATGTCGGCAGTGCAGTGCCGCCTGGCCCCCCTCATCCAGGTCATCCAGGACTGCAGCCACCTCTACCACTACTCTGTCAAGCTGATGTTCAAGCTGCACTCCTGTGAGTCCCGGGGATGTGCTCAGTGCTGGTGTTTTCCCAGGGTGGGCTTCTGAGTCTGGGGATGAGGCTGGTGTGGATTGAGGCATCCATCGCCATGTCCCTGTATCCCAGCTGGGCTCCAGAGGCCTGCTCCATCCCACACAGACATTCCAGATAAAGGAGTTACAAGGACTTGTTCTTGTTTAACTCAAACCCACGTCCCCTGGCCTGCCAGCTCCCTGCATGGGCAGCACAGTGCCAGCAGCCTTGTGTGGGTATTTTGGAGTTCCCACACCCACATCTCCCTGTGCCAGGGATGGGAGCACCCCACTCCCATCCTGACCCCTCACATCCCACTCCCTCCTGGCTTTTACCCTGCTGGCTTTTGCAGAGGAGGGGTCTGGGTGCACGTGAACACATGTGCAGCCCCAGATCAGTCACAGCTGTCCGTCCTCACCCAGGTCTGCCAGCTGACACCCTGCAGGGCCACCGGGACCGCTTCCACGAGCAGTTCCGCAGGTAACCGGGGCCCACGTGGGGCAGTGGGGTCCCCTCCCTCCTTCCAAGCCCCCTCTAATCTTCCCTTTGTCTTTCCCTCCTCTCCAGCCTTAAAAACTTCTTTAAGAAGGCATCTGACATGCTCTATTTCAAGCGCCTCATCCAGATCCCGCGGCTGCCGGAGGTAGGGCAGGATTTGGTGTGGTGCTCTGGAGAGTTTGTGCGAGTCTGGGGACACTGCCTCTGGCCCTGTCAGCAGCACAGGGCTGGCTCCCTCCCTTCCCTTGGCACTCTGCCTGCTGCAGTTCCTGAACCCCCTGCAAGGCTGCAACAACTTCTTGTCCCTCCAGAGCCCCCCAAACTTCCTGCGGGCGTCCGCGCTGGCCGAGCACGTGAAGCCGGTCGTCGTCATCCCCGAGGAGGCCCCCGAGGATGAGGAGCCAGAGAACCTCATTGAGATCAGCACAACTTCCACCACAGAGCCACAGGTGGGGGTCTGGGGCTGGGATGGGGGCAGGCTCCTGTGTCCTGGCCCAGCTGAGCAGCCTCTGTCCTCCCCAGATCACCTCGGATCTGTTTGAGCAAACCTTCGGGCCGCCCAACGGCGTTTGGGATGACAGGTGTGGTATGGGGGGGCCAGCAGGGGCGAGGGGCTGCTGCCACTGGGACCAACCTGCCCTTGTCCACAGGGATGCACAGATCGAGAGCCTGAAGAAGGAGGTGGAAACGCTCCGTGCAGAGATGGAGAAGATTAAACTGGAGGTAAAGCCTGGCTGGGGAGCAGCTGGGGTGGGCTTTGGTGCTGTGCTGTGGAAATCCTGAAGGGATGCAGCAGGAGTGGGGTCCTGGCATCCAGGGTTGTGTTTTTGGACCTCTCCCAGTGCCAGGATGTGATGCCTGATGGGGTGGGGGCAGGTGAGACCTGTCCCTTGCTGTCCTGATGTTATCAACAGGGACAGAGCGGCTGCAGGGGTACAGGGCAGAGCTTTCCTGTGCATCCCACGGCTGCTTTGCCCAGATTCCAGAGGGGCACCTGGCTGGGGGTGTTGGGGAGGGCAGGGCCGTGCCCCAGTGCCCGGTGACCCCTGCAGGCACAGCGCTACATCACCCAGCTGAAGGCCCAGGTGAACAGCCTGGAGGGAGAGGTGGAGGAGCAGCGCAAGCAGAAGCAGAAGGCGCTGGTGGACAACGAGCAGCTGCGGGACGAGCTGGAGAGGCTGCAGAGGGCCAAGGAGGACAGTGACAGGTCACAGCGCCTCTGCGCCGAGGCCGAGAGTACGTGCCCTGGGGTGCCTGGGGTGTCCTGGGGTGCCCTGGGGTGTCCTGGGATGCCCTTTGGTGCCCTGGGGTGCCCTGTGGTGTCCTGGGGTGCCCTGTGGTGTCCTGGGGTGTCCTGGGGTGTCCTGGGGCCGTGGGCTGCCCTGGCTGTGGTGGCTGAGGGTCTCTGACCCCTGCAGAGAAAGCCAACGCCACCGAGATCCGCTACACGAAGCTGAAGGAGAAGCACAGCGAGCTCATCAACACCCACGCCGAGCTCCTGAGGAAGGTAAGGCTGCTGCCCCTGCAGGCAGGGGTGACACTGAGGGCAGTGTCCCCGAATTAAATCCCTCCCTTTTGGGGTTGGGGTATCCAGGGCAGAGCTGAGCACCCTTTCCCTCTTCTATCATGGTCCCTTTGGGTGTTTTTGTTGTTGCTTTTTGGGGTGTTTTGCTGTTGTTTGGTCTGTTTCTGCTGGTTTCAGTGTAGCTGGTGGGATATCAGTTGTACCAGCAGTCGTGGCATGCTTGGCTCCAGTTTTGGAAAGGGGCTCTTGAGGGATATGCTGGTGATGGGGATCCTGTGTCTCAGTTGTGCCACTCACCTGTTTCGTTTTTTGCTTTGGATGTTTTGGTCTTGCTTTCGTCCCTTGGTCCCTCTGCCACCACTGCTGTGACTTGTGCCTGCCCAGTCCCCCTGTATTGGTCCCATCGCCCTCTGAGCACCAAGCGGGAGGCACCCCTTGGATCCATGTCCACTGGCATTTTGGATGCTGTGAGAAAGGCATCTTGGATTTATTCTCTGAGCTAAAATATGGTTGGAATGAGTGTGGGGACAGTGGGGGTCGCCCTTGGAACACTGGGTGAGTCCCATTTTCCCCCACAGAACGCTGACACTGCCAAGCAGCTGACGGTGACACAGCAGAGCCAGGAGGAGGTGGCACGTGTCAAGGAGCAGCTGGCATTTCAGGTGGAGCAGGTCAAGCGAGAGGCTGAGATGAAGGTGAGCTCTGGATCAGCACTGAGCCCTCCCCAGCCTGGGAAATGCAGTTTGGGAGCAAGGCAAAGGGGGGGTTGTTGTTGTTGGACCCTGATTCCAGGAAGGGTTGCCCTGGCTCCTCAGGAAGGTGTTAATTTATGACTCATTCCCTCTTGCCCAAATCTGCCTTTTCTTCCCCTAAGAAAATACCACAATGCAAATTGATGGGTTTGAGTGCTTTCCTTCTCTGGGGGTCAAGATAGGGGCTGCTCCCAAAATTCTGGCATGGGAAAAGGAGCCCTTCTAGGAGACACCCCCTGCCCAAGACCCCAAAACCCCTCCCTGCAAAGCATGGCTGGGTTCATTCCCTGCATCCTGGCTGGTGCTGGTGCCGAGTGGGGCAGGGGCTGAGCCTGGGCACGGTGTGTGGGCACAGCTGGAGGACCAGAGCGTGCAGATGGAGCAGCTGAGGCAGGAGCTGGACGCCCGTCGGGACGAGCTGGAGCAGGCGCAGCGCTCGCTCAGCCACGCCAAGCAGGTACGGGGGGCAGCACGGGCCCAGGGAGCATCAAACCCTGCACCTGCCACCACTGCTGAGCTTGAGCTTCAGCAGCAGCCCAGGGAGCTGTCACGGGGCTGAGTGTGGGCCCAGCCCATCAGTGTCACCAGCTGGGCCTGTCCCGAGCTCCCCCCAGTTCTGCTGGGCTGCCAGCAGTGACAGGGCAGTGACAGGGCAGTGACAGGGCAGTGACAGGGTGTCCTGGCCCCCATGGCAGGCAGGTGTGGAGCTCAGTGCCCAGCTGGATGCTCTGCATGCTGAGAAGGAGGTGCTGAGGCGGTCGGTGAGCGAGAAGGAGTGTGAGCTGCTGTCCACACGGGGCCTCGTGCAGGAGAAGGAGCTGCAGCTGAGCCAGGAGGCAGACAAGGCCACCAGGGAGATCCGAGAGCTCCAGGGCAGGCTCCTGGAGAAGGTACAGAGCTCTGTGAAGGGCCCACTGCCCCTCCACTCACTGGGGTGAGATGTTTGGGGGTGCCAGCTGATGCATCCTGTGGGATATCATTTGTACCAGCAATCATGGGAGGGTTGGGTCTGATCCTGGAAAGGGGCTCCAGAGGGATGTGCTGCTGATGGGGGTGCTCTGCCACTCACCTGTTCCTCCTGCTTCACAGAGCAACCAGGAGCAGAGCCTGCAGCAGAAGCTGCTGGATGAGCAGTTTGGAATCCTGCAGGAGACAGTGAGAGAAGCCCAGGCCATCCTCACTGATGCCTTGGCCAAGCTGGATGACCCCCTGCACCTCCGCTGCACCAGCTCCCCAGGTATGTCCTGCTCATGCAGGGGGCTGGAGCACGCTCTGCCTTCTCCCTCCTGGACAGAAAATGCTGCATCTCAGCTCTCCCATGGCTTTTTTTCCATCATGCCTGAGGTGGTTGGGGTCAGAATTCCCAGGATGAATTTTTAGCTCTCATGTTCAGCATTGTTTTGCTCAGATTTTAGAGCTGTTCCCCAGCCAGGGATACACTTCCACTCAGTGGTGCCTCAAGGAGTCAGCACTGGTGCAGACACCCACCAGGCTGTGCTGAGGCCATGGAATGCAATTCCTTGCAGATTACCTGCTGAGCCGGGCGCAGGCGGCGCTGGAGTCCACGGATGCCCTGGAGAAGGGGCACGCGCAGTACGTGGCCTCCATGGCAGGTACCTGGGGCTGGGGACTGCCATTGCTCCCAGCTTGCTCGTGTTCCCATGCACCCAGCAGCTCTGGGGCCACGGGCAAGCAGCAATGCCCTGGGGACAGAGGGACATGGGCGGGGCTGGGGGGTTCCCGTGTGCTCCTTCAAGCAGGAGGGGTCAATGCCAACATTTCTGAGTCTTGCCCTGACCCTTGAGTGCCTTCAAGGATGAGCTGCAGCGGGCAGGGGCGGGCAGCTCCTGAGGCTGTGCTGTCTGTGGCAGATGCTGCGGGGCTGGTGGGGGCTCTGGCCCTCTTTGCACACCTGGCAGGCGACACCATCGTCAATGGCAGCGCCACGGCACACCTGGCCCCCACAGACCACGCTGACCGTGAGTGCAGGCATGCAGGGGCTGCTGGGGGGATCATTTCTCATGGGCCTTTTCTTAAGGGAGGCCATGCCAAAGCCCCCTCTGCCAGGGGCAGATTTTCCTAAACACAGCACATTCCCCATGCTCCCCCTCCCAACATTCCCTGCCCTCCAGTGCCCCTCCTTGGGCCTGGAAATTCATTTGTAATTTCCTGGAAGACATTTATGGGATGCTGCTGGTGCTCAGCTGTGGATGAGGGGAGGAGGAAGATGAGGGTGGGCAGGGCTGGGATGAAGGGAGCCCTTGCCCAGGCTGTGCTCTCGGCAGGGCTGACGGAGACGTGCCGGGAGTGCGGGCAGAGCAGCCTGGAGTACCTGGAGCAGCTGAAGGACAGGCAGAGGCTGGGCAGTGCCCAGCTGGGGCACGTGCAGGGGGCACTGCGAGGGGTCCTGCAGCTGGCACAGGTAGGACATGGAGCCCAGCACAGCCACCTTCCCACTCGGGGCTGGCAGGGTGGGTCCCAGGGAACACTTTGGGGGGGTTTGTGCCCCATACCCACAAGTTCTGGTGCTTTCCTTGAGCCATCACTGGGACCCGTCCTGGTGGTGCACAGAGCTGGTCGCCCTCAGATCAGCTGAAGTCTTTCAGCCCAGTAACCCCTGTGGAGGGAAACTTCCCATCTTTCAGATATTTCTCCTGGTGAAGCCCCTATTAGTCTTTTACATCACTGTTCAGCTCTCCAGGGCCCTCTGGAGCACAAATTGCTCCTATGATGGAGTTTTGTCACCTTGATTTGGGGCATTTCTTACCTCTGAGGTCCCATGTTTGCTGCAAGCTGGTGGCACGTGTACCTTCACTGTGCAGGCTGCAGAGTGCTGCTCCTGCAGCTTTAATTTGGTGGGGTTGGGAAGGAATTGAATATCTTGGTTTGTAGTTATTCCTTACAAATATTCCCTTCTGTTTCTCTGCCTAAAACCTCCTCATTCCTGCTGCCTCCTCTGGCAGGAGCTGAGACCCAAGAGCCTGGACATCAAGCAGGAGGAGCTGGGGGACATGGTTGAGAAGGAGATGGCCTCCACCTCAGAGGCCATTGAGGATGCTGTCAGGAGGATAGAGGTGAGACAGAGCTGCAGGATGGGCCATTCTGGGGCCTTGGAGGGCACAGTGTCCATCACTCCTCCACCTTCCTCACCCCAACGTGGCATCCAACCCTTCCTCTTGTGTTTCCCAACAGGAGATGATGAGCCAGGCCAGGAACGAGAGCTCTGGGGTTAAGCTGGAAGTGAATGAGCGGTGAGTTTTGAGAAGGGACATGTGGCAGGTCTGTGCCCTGCTGGGGTGTGCTCTGCTCCAAAACAGGCTGGCTGCTCTTGAAAAAAGCCCCATTTTCTGAGGCCAAAGCTTCCCTGGATGCTGAACACTTTTCCCTTGCTTCCCTTCAGGATTCTGAACTCCTGCACGGATCTAATGAAGGTCAGTGCTGCAGAAACCCATCTGGGGTGCACAAAACTGTAACCTCCCACCAGCAGCAGCATCAATCCTCCTCAATGAGACCCCATCAAACCCCAAAACCTGTTTTCCTTCCTTCCAGGCTATCAGACTTCTTGTAACAACATCCACAAACCTACAGAAGGAGATAGTGGAAAGTGGCCGGGTAAGTCCTCCCTTACACTCATCTCTTTGTGCTGATGAAATACAGGAGAATTTCCCCCAAATTGCAGAGACATTCTGGATTTTATGGTTTCCCATGTTGGCAGCATTCTGGCAGTCCCAGTAGCTGGAGCTGGGCTGCTCACCCCTGTGCTCTTTTGCACAAATCACTGCCACCCTTGCAAAGCCTTATCCATCTAAAGATCATGGCTCAAATCTGTGTGTTTTAAACCAAACCCAGCTCAAATTTGTAGGCTTGGGACTCTGATGTTTTTCTTGGTAATTGTTTAAGCAGGTCAGTAAGAGCAGCATGGAGAGCACAGCAATGCTGTCGCTCCCTTGATTTATGGCTTTATATATGAATTTACACATTATTACACTTTATATGGGTATTTAATACAGATTTATATGTTGCTGTATATTAGACAGAAGTTAATCCAGGCCATAATATTCTCATAACAACAGGGGGCAGCAACAACTCAGGAGTTTTACGCCAAGAACTCGCGCTGGACCGAAGGGCTGATCTCTGCCTCCAAGGCCGTGGGCTGGGGAGCCACACAGCTCGTGTAGGTACCCCCAGGCTGGGAGCTTCCCCTGGGACACAGCTCCAGGGGCTGCACCCGGGGCTGCCTCGTGCTTCCCTCTCACCCCACCCTCCAAAATTCCAAAATTCCCACTGCTGAATTGCTGATTCCTTGTGGAGCCTCATTGCTGGCTCCCTGTGGAGATCTCTGTTTTTATGGACCCTCAGTTTGGTTCACTGCTAATTCCTCATGGAGCATCGTTGGACCACACGGTCACCCAGCTAGGGATGGCAGCTCCTCCCTGTCTGCAAAATGTGAAATCAAGTCCCCCCTGCCCCATTCCTGCTCAGCTGGTTGTGGATGGGGTGGTTGGAAATTGCCCTGTGCCAGTGCAGGAAATGTGGGGGGGTCTCTTGGGCAAAGCTTTAAAAATCTCTTCCATTATGAAAACAAAATCCTTCCTCAGTCCAAATCACCTGGATCATGGCTTTGAATAATTGCTTTGTATATGAGCTTGAATAACAGCTGGACTCAAAGATCTTAGAGATCTTTTCAACTGTAATAATTCCATGATTCTGTAATTACAAAGCTGCTGAATCCAGCTGCTGATTTCTGAGGGTATTAGTAGGAGATGAATAATCTGCACTTGCTCTGACCCAGTCTCCCTTTGCCCCCCTGCAGGGAGTCTGCAGACAGGGTTGTCCTGCACACAGGGAAGTACGAGGAGCTGATTGTCTGCTCCCACGAGATCGCTGCCAGCACAGCCCAGCTGGTGGCTGCCTCCAAGGTGGGTGTCCCAGCAGGGCCCTCTGGGTGTCTCCTCCTCCTGTCCCACGGTGTTCCCCTCCTCTCTGCCAATCCTGCAGTCTCCCAGAGCAGGGAGAAGGGGAGCTCTTGCTGTTTTCCAGTCTGTGATTTGTGTGTGAATGTTCCCACACCCGAGGCTTGCCTTAGAAAGGAAGATGTGTAAAACCTCCCGTCCTCCTCCTGTCAGGCTGGTTATTTAAAGAAAATGTTAATAACTAACAAGAAATCCAGAGAAGCAGCTGCAGGAGCTGGAGTTGAGGATGGTGGACTTTGGCCCTTGCCACCTTTCCTGTTGGTGTGGGTGGAAGTGAGGGGTGGAGTTTTTAGTGATGCAGGTGTGAGGGGAGGGGGATCCATAGGGATTTTTACACCAGATGGGTTTAAAATTAAGAGCCTGGTTAAAAAACCAGAGCTGTGTCTTCACTGAGTGCTTGGCTCAGGTGGGAGCAGAGCTGGTTTGGTGCCCTGGGGCTGAAGGGCTTTGCATCAGCCAAAGGATCACCTTGTCTGGCCATGATGGGATCACTGAGGATAAACCTTCCCATCTGTCCATCCATCCATTCTTTCCATTCCCAGGTTTTCATGCCCAAAAGTTCTTTGCCTCTGCCTGGGGCTCCCTGGAGCTCCTTGGTGAGGTTGTGGTGGGCACCCACAGCCATTCCTGTGTTGTTGCAGGTGAAGGCTGAGAAGAGCAGCAGGAACCTGGCCAGGCTCCAGGAGTGCTCACGCAACGTCAACGAGATGGCAGCAAACGTGGTGGCTTCCACCAAGTCGGGGCAAGAGCAGATAGAGGAGAAAGGTGAGGATTTTTTACAAGGAAAAGGTAGAAAACCCCACCCCAAATCCCTTTCTGGCCTGGGGAACACCCCAGGGTGTTCGTCCAGCTCTGCTTTGGCATGTGAGGGGTGCACTCAGTGGGGTCCCTGCTGTCCCCCACAGACACCATGGACTTCTCGGGCATGTCCCTCATCAAGCTGAAGAAGGAGGAGATGGAAACGCAGGTACGGCCCTGAGGTGGATTCAGCACGGCTGCGGACAGGCCCGGCCCCGCTGTGGGGGTCCCTGTGCCCCCAGCACGGCTCCAGGATGGTTTTTGGGCACAGGTGAAGGTGCTGGAGCTGGAGAAGCGGCTGGAGGGCGAGCGGGTGCGGCTGGGCGAGCTGAGGAAGCAGCACTACGGCCTGGCCGGGGGCTGCGAGGACGCGCCCGAGGACGGGGAGGCCCGGCCGGCGCCGGCGCCACGGCGAGGGATCCTGAAGAAACCCCCCATAGCCCAGAAACCCGGCCTGGGCGAGGTGAGGCCGGGCTGGGGCTGCAGGCCGGGGGTGCAGGGGGTGCTCCTGGCACGGGCTCTCACTGCCTTGGCCTCTGTCCCCTTCTCGTTGCAGCCATAGCAGCCCCCGGGCCCACCCTCCTCCCGCGGTGCCTTCGCGCTGCTGTGCCTTCCTCGGCGCCCAGCCTGGAAACCATCCCACACTGGATCATTTCCTGAGGAATAGATTTTATTTTTTGTTTTCCTTTTTTCTGAACTCTAGAGTGGCGGGGCTCCTGCGCTCCCCCGGCACCACTGAGTGCTCTTCTCCTTTTCCTCTTCCTCCTCTTTCCTTTTCCTCTTCCTCCTCCTTCTCTTCCTCCTTCTCTTCCTTCTTCTCTTCCTCCTCCTCTTTTTCCTCCTCCTCCTCGCCTGCCAACTGGCTCTCCCTGTTTAATTTAATTTGGGGTTTGTTTGGGTTAATTTTTTTTTTTTTAAGGACTTTATCAGCACTAGAAGTTTTCAGTAAATGTAGCTCTACTGTACTGCTCAGACCCTTTCCAAGAACTGTGAACTGGTTTTACAGTAGGAAACTGGTGGGCTTTTCTTGAAAGCATTTTTTTAAATTCCCCTTTTTCCAGCCTGAGGAATATTTGACTTCATTTTGGTGTGAGATCAGCCCTCAGCAGGAAGGGAAACGTTTGCCTTCCCCAGCACATGGAGCAGGGCTTTTGTTAGGGAAAAGCAGTTACTGACACACACTGGCAATAAGGATACAAACGTTTTTATTTTTTTTTCCTTTTCTATTTTTTATTACTACAGCAATGTCAAGGGATCAGTTGCATTATGTTTTATATTTAAGATAATTAGCAGAATTAAATCTAACTGTGGCCTGTGGGAGCCAGGGACTAGAGAAGTCTGCAGCAATAAGGAATTGCTGATGTGGAGAGATGCGGGGGCAGATTAAAATCCTGTCAGCTGTGTCTCCCTTGGAGCAACTACCAGGATGTAGATTATTAAAGGAGAAATATTTAAAATACTTTTGTGTTGCTTTGTTGTTGGGGAGGGGGTTGATGACAGGGCCAGGGCTGTGACAGGGTTGGTTGGAGGAAACTGGGCCTGAGCTGTGGGGAAGAGGCAGGCAGTAAATAACCTAAATGTGCATAAATATATCTGTATATTCACATAAATATATATAGAGAGAGTCCTCTCTGTGTAGCCATATGTATCTATGGTTCTGCATTTGCCTATATATATATATTTATATACACACACATATATATATATATATATATATGCATTTTTGCATATTTTATATGCCTATACTGTTATGTACTATATATAAAATGTAATATATAAGAGATAATTGTATTTTATATATATAAATATACTATTATAGATATATGATAGGTAATCTATATTTATGATTTATAATACATATTTATTAGTACATACTATATACATGTTGCATATATATATCTATTAGATAAAATATAGGGGCTATATATATATATATATAAATATAATAGGCAACTGTATATGATACATAATATAATAATATCATGTAGGTGGTAAGACTGAATCATTTGGAGCTCAGCATGACAAGGTGACTGCAGCTGCCTTGTGTTTAGGTGGTGACTTATGAGGGTCCTTGTCATGTTCAGTCAACATTTACATCTCATCCCTTGTTACCTTCAGGCCCAATTACAATCAAACGTCATAAAAGGCACAGTAAAACCCAGGGCTTTTCATCTCTGGGACTGCCAAGAGGCTGTAAAGCAGTTAACAGGAATTTCAAGTGGCTGTATCTCAGGTAAACACATTTACAAGGTATTCCATCTTTATTTTAGTTACCAAAGAGTCTCGTGATGGCCGCAGCTTTCTGAGGTTGCACATCCCAGCCTGCCTGGGCAGGTTTATCACTGCCAGGGCTCCTGGTGTGGCCAAAGTGCAGCGCCCCAGGGGCTCTGGTGCTGCCCTGCAGCTGCTGCTGGGCTCAGCCCAGCCCCAGGTTTGGTCCCTGCTCTGCCCTGGGAGAGGCTCACGCAGCCCTGGGTGGCTGCTGTCACATCCAGTGACAATGACACAGCAGTGGCAGGGGCCAGCTCCCTGCTGAGTTTCGTTTCTCTCAAGGAAGTGCTTTCTGCAGTAGCTCAAGGTTTATTTATAGGCAGTGATAAAGTATTTATATTTAGTAATTATATTTGCTGGGAGGCTGACGTCACCCAGCCACTCACACCATCCCATTTCATCCCGGAAATATTGATTAACCAAGAATGCAAACTTTTCAACTTTTTCTACCCTGAGTGCAGCCACAGTCCTACTTAAAGGATTTGTTATATTTAAAGAATTCAAAAATAAAATTATGTGTGGCTAAATGGAACTTGTTTACCCCCACTCCTGTCACACTGATTTACTTGAAACCATCCGGGCCAGATAATCAAAAATCTCAAAAAGTAGCAGCACAAATAAAAACAAGGTCTATAAACCACTTGAAATGTAATCTAAATTAATTTTTGTACAAAAATTATTCTCACTGTCCAGTCTAATTTTTTTTCTTCAGTCCTATACTTTTTTGGAAAGTGTTTGCTATTTGTAGCTGACAAAAATATCAGAACGACAAACTGTGTGTCTGCAGAGGTTTATTTTGAGATTCCAAGACATCCTGTTGTGCAGGATCCAATTTGCTAATGACTTTTAAATACCATTATTGTGGCTGTGGAGAGAGGAAGATGTTTCACTCCATGTGCTCCTCCTGAGAAGGAATTTTACTCATTACCTGTAAGAGAAGCAGTGGAAAATAACCAAGTTGTGAAATAATCCACCTTTTGCTCCATTCCACCAAGGTGAGTAAAGTAGTTTATTTTTTCTTGAAGCAGCTTTCAAGGAGGCTGTGATCTCCTCTGGCTCCCTCAGTAGCCAAAGCTCCAGTGGCCACAGATGAGTTTGAACACCAGCACACGAAGCAGCTGCAGCTCAGCAACAGAGAGCAAAGCTGGCAAAACACAAGTGTCAGATCACTGGGGGCAAAAAGGGCATTGAAATTAAGCTCACAAATAGAAAAAAGGCTGATGCAGGCTCTAGGAAGGCAGGTAAAGAAACCTAACCACAAAACTTCTGCAAAAGTTTGTTTTTAAGAGCTCTTGAAACCACAAAAAGCAGTCTTCTGCAAGAAAAGTTATTTTTCTGCTGTGCCCAGCCAGGCATGAATTAGATGAGTTTGAGCAGCAGAGTATTTAGGGATGGTATTTCCTGACTGACCCACTCAGAAAAATGACTGGGGTAACTCAGGAGCACCAGCTAATGAAATCATTTAACAAATGCTTCGTGGGTGTGCAGGGTTGAATAAAAACCAAAAAATACAAAGCTGGTCTGGATTCCCCTCATACCTTGTGCAACAACACACCCCGGGCCAAAAGGCATTTCTAGCATTTTCTGCTCAGCCAGGTGGGCTCATTCCAGTGCTGAGAACTTTGTCACCTCCCATCCTCTGGGACTGGCTCCCTCCTAACAAACCCCTCAGGAATGAGCCCAGCCCCAGCAGTGGTTGCTGGAATAAAGTGCAGTTTTAAGTGCATGTAGCAAGGTGTGGGATTATGTGGTGAGAGGGAAACATTTTTAGCTTTGAAGGAAAAAATAATTCCCACTCATCACCTACAGGAGTGCAGAAAAAGCACCTTTGAGCGGTTTGGAAATAATAAGCAGTGTTTAAAAAACAGCTTTTAGCTTACAGCAGGATCCAGGGTATGCACTGGCACATCTCCCAGCCTCAGCAGCCTGGATTTGTCCTGCAGGGAGGGGGAAAATGGAGAGTGAGAGCAGAGGCTGCCCAGGGACAAGGGGCAGCCTTTGCAACACCTCAGCAACTCGAAACCTCCAGAGGGGACCCAAAATCCCTCAAAAAGCCTCGAGCAACACACCCAGTTCTGGTGACCGAGTCTCAGAGAGGTGAAGAGGCAAAGCTGTAAAATGATGAATGCACAACCCAGGGGACTCAAATTACAGGAGCAAGGGCAAGGGAAGGACCTGCAGCCACCTCCAGGGAAGGGACAAGCCAAGGCCACACGGACACTGCAGCGTGTCCCCAATATTTATTGTGGCATTTTGCTTTTTTCAAGGCCCAAGTGCCACCTGAGTCCCCTGCCTGGCAAGGTCTGAGCCTGGCAGGTGACAGCTCCTTTGCACTGGGACCAATCCCAGCCAGAGCAACCTCTGGGGACACCGAGCCCAGGGCTGGAACAGGCACAGCTGGAGCCCCACAGCTCTGCCAGCCACAAACCAGCAAATTCTTCCAAGAGCTGAGCTGAGGAGCTGCAGATTTTACATAACACCTTCCCCTGCCCTCGCCCACCTGCACTGAGTCAGCACAGCAGCTTTCCCTCATCTGCACTCTCCCTCTCCTGCAGAAGGTTATCCAAGCTCTGCAGCCACCACAAAGGGAAGGGATCAAGAAACAATTAAAAAAGGGAATTTCTTCCCTGAACAGTTATTCTGATTTCTCTTTTGCATCACTACTAAAGTGACAGATATCACAGAAAATTACATCAGGTCTTTTCTGCCCTCTGACTCATATTCCTAAATAACTCTGGTTGACTCATTTCTCCTAACTTGGCTGATATCTAAGATTTTCCTCTCTTAAAAAAAAAAAAAAGCTTTCTCCCTTCAGCCTTTCCAAGTGATTCTGAACATTCCCACTAGCTAATTGTAGGAAATTAGAGGAAAAGCAAAGGGGTTTTACCTGACAGCCCACCTACCTCACTGCCCTGATTCCAACATGTGAAATCTACTGTGAGCAAACCCATCCTGTATCAGCTCCACACAAAATGGACTCATTATACCCAGCCACTAAAACCACAGCCAACAGATTTACCATGAATAATTAAAGCATTTTGCAATTTTATGTTCTACATCCATCCAAAACTGTGTTTATGTTGGTACAGAAAAAAAAAACCCATTAGGGTTGAAAATCATTAATAGAACTGCACCAGGACTGAAGGGAGCCACAAGGGGACAGGACACCAAGAGATATGCTATTTTATTTAAAATCAGAACACAGTAGATAACAGAAAGACTTATTATGCAAACAACTCCACTGTATGTTCACAACTTACTCAGCATACAAAGCTGCCCTTGCTGAGGCAGTCCAGGGTCACACAGAGGAACCGTTCAGGCACAGGACGACTCTGCCCCCTCGGAGCTCCACGGGAGGCTGCAGGAATCGACTCTGCCCCCTCGGAGCTCCACGGGAGGCTGCAGGAACCGACTCTGCCCCCTCGGAGCTCCACGGGAGGCTGCAGGAATCGACTCTGCCCCCTCGGAGCTCCACGGGAGGCTGCAGGAATCGACTCTGCCCCCTCGGAGCTCCACGGGAGGCTGCAGGAATCGACTCTGCCCCCTCGGAGCTCCACGGGAGGCTGCAGGAATCGCTGCTCTGAGCTCTGCATCTCCGTCATTCCAGTGTGAGAGGGCAGTGGAGGCCGGGGCAGTGGAGGCCGGGGCAGTGGTGGGGACGGTGACCCCGAGCAGCCACAGGGCCCTCCCAGGGCAGCTCCTGCTCCCTGCAGACCTGCCTGGATCAGCTGTGCTGAACAATCCACTCCACTGAGTGCAGGGAGACCCTCAGGAGTCAGAACTGCAGGCCCAGGTCCAAGCCCCAGCTCACAGAACTGCACACAGAGACTGGCACAAACAATGCTGCCCAAAGAGAGCATTTCCAATGCTACCAACACTCTAAAGCCGTGTTACACATTGTATTTAAAGGATTTTTCTCCACTCCAATTGCTTTGGGGAAGTACATGCTATTTGTAGCAGACATCAAAAATCCTTTATTATATATATATATATCTTTTTTTTTTTGGCAAGCATCGTGAGCCACCCCCTCTCAAGTCTCAGCTTGCCTATGGCATTTTAATCTCACTATCTTATAAACAGTGCAAATTAGTACAATTCTAAACATCCTAGGCAGAGCAGAATTAATTTATTTATTAGCTATAACAGAACAGGAGAAGCTGTTGAAGGGCAACAGGTTGAAAGCACTGA